TAGGTAGGTAGTAAGTAGGGTTCCATGCAAAATAATAAACAAATTTTGTACGTATATACTGTAATAGATTATAGTACGGTTTCAGGATGAAAATAAAATATTTCAATTTTATATAAAATGTTATATTATCTTTTCCTTAAAATTGTTTATAAACGTCTCGGCAAATTGTTATATATAATTATTGAGGTGTATTGCAAATTTGTTACAAATATTCTAATACAATTTCACCAATTAACTCAATGGAGGAAACAAGAGCAGTCCTCTTTTTTAAAAATTATTTAGAGTTTCTTTGCAAACTAGATTAAAACAAAACCTCTGCAGGACGATTTATTTAAAAAAAAGACAATTAAATCAGTGTTATTTTAAAATAACTATATATAGCCCACTACAATTATAAATATATTAATATATATATGAAAAATATATTAATACCGTCCTATTTTTATAAAAAATATGAGGATTTTTCACACCAGTATAGGTATCAAGATATTTAAAATAAAGTTACTGTCAACATATTGTAACGAAAAAAATGAAAACTGTAAATATGTTTGACAAGCGAGGGTAACCAGTCTCAGAATGTGACGGTGGGCAGGTCCGGAAGGCTTACTTCCTGCTTCTCGACCTTCGGGTGGCCTTCAGACCTTGACGCCGTTCACTCAATGCAACCTACTTCATTATTTGGATGAATATCTGTTTATGACTGAAAGCAATTAATTTCATAACATAATCATATCATTGCAAACATTTAAATTATTTTTTTAAATGTACGACAGTAAATTCTCCAGCTAATACTAAAATTTTTAATGTAATAAATGAATACCTACTTAATAAATTGCAAGCAACAAATAAAGTTATGAAAAACTAGAATCATGGGTCTCATTTTTTAGTACAATAATTATAACGATTTAGATACCATTTTTGAAAAAAAAATGACAGTTTTTTTTGCGTTGTGACCCTTTGCTTGCCACTATTGTTTGCCACTATTGTAGTATAAAAAATCTAATTGTATAGATGTTTCACAAATAAATATATTTAGCAAAGTAATAACAAACATTATTAATTTAAGATATTTTCGAAAAAACCTAAACAGAAATTTAAATCCTTTATCATTTTTTTAAATAAATCTATCTCTACCACAGAACAGAAAAATATGTTCTGTATTGTTTACATTATTAAACTTACTTGCTCCATTTGGAATCATCCGGCTCCAAAAAATACTAAATAGGTAGGTACGTAACAAATATAGTAACGAATTAAACAGCACGACTGTGATAATTTCAACATAGTAGCATAAGAGTCGTATGTCAAGGTAGAATATTTTCACGAAAAATGTGACCATTACATGCAATCTAATCTAAATGACTTTTGTAAGCTTACACAATTTGTATAAAAGAATTAGAGTAAGTATAATACACTCCATCACAAAGTTGAAACCCAACGTTTTGCTAAAATTTAAAATACTCATTTTAAATAAATTAATAAATTAAATACTTTTTTATATCATATACCGGTAAACGTAGTAAGTAGATGTTGTATGATATCTAATCCCAGTAGGAAAACATATTTATTTAAAAAGAAGCAGGAATGTTCACGTTGGACCTGATTTTGAAGCTACTTTTTTATTAAAAAATATAACTAGTAACTCAATATACTCATGTTATCGCGTGGTTGATATTGAACATTTCAAGAAAAATTTATTATATATTTACTAAAAATAATAAATATATGGTAGAGTAAAAAAGTTGACATATAAAGCTGGGACACATATACACATATGATTTTTTTTTTTAATAAATACATCTTCTAATTATTGCGCAATTTCTATTATGAAATTACGAATTTATCAATTATGCTTAATAGTAAACTCTATTAACTAAATTTTTTACCTTTTCGTATATGTATTTTAAAATTATGAAATTTAAGTTCATATTCGAATTAATCTAGTTTATTATTCAGTGTGTGATAAATATCAGCAATTTGATGATGTGAGCGAACCTAGACGTGGAAGGGCCGTGGAGGAAGGTGATCTGCATAGCCCGTAAACTGGATCAGAGCCGTGACATGGTTACGTGACTGCGAACGTCAGCCCGCCCGCAAATTCCTCGCCTATGCACTCATCTCGTTGGATTTCCATCAATAATATTGCGCTCTAGATCATTTATCGAACATGCTTGCCGGTCAATAACTTCTGCGTATTTACCAAGTCATTTTATAAATTAAAAGTATTTTTTAAGTATGAATAGAGATAAAAATTATAACGTGACGGTGCAGAGAATACTGTATATGATTTTCAGTTTGTTTTTGAATTAAATTTATGGTTTTTGAAACATTGCCCTATTAGAAATTAAATAATAATGTGTAGGTACATAAAAACTAATATTGTTAAATTTTGATAGTATTACTGCTTGGTCAACTTCTACGCGGGTTGCCCTGTAAACATGTAGGTATAGTAGTTAAAACCTAGTGAATACTCATCGATGACAACAAATAATTAAAAAACGGCTATCTAATACTAATGTTAACGTATAAAGATTATTACGGCATTATTAATTAAAATTATGCGTACTAATATTATTAATGCGAAATACTGTGTTTGATTGATGGTTTTTCACAACTAAACGGCTGAACCGATTTTTAAAAAACTAACATGACGGTAGATAGTGTCCATAGAATGAACATAGGCTATCTTTTATCTCTAGACCAATTCGTATCAAATCAAATCTAAAAGTGATCTAGTCTCTCTAGACCAATTTTTTAAATTTATGAATGAAAGCTTATGTATCTATAGGAAGTCGCGATTAACAGCCAGTATGCCATAAAACATAATAAGTATATATTAAACGCTGTTTACGTACAAATTAGCTTACATTTATGGTGATAAGCTGCAGCAGGACTATTAATCTAAGATAATCTAATAGAATTACCTATGTCTAAATAATATCACTTGCCTCTACTTAAGTCCATTTAAAGGTTAGCCTTGTATCTATTTTTGTCCAAGACATTTGAATGCTTTTGTATATATGTAACAAAGTCGCACAGCAATTATAAGTCGGTCATTTATGTGGGTTTTCATCGACAGTTATAAATATTGCAACACAATTCAATTAACACTACGCCGGTATATTTCTAAAACAAATCATTAATACAACAAATTACAATCTTATCTAACGCCAATTCTACATTTCAAATCATATTAAAGTACATAATGTAATGTTTATAATTATATTTATCATTGAAATAGGTGCCTAGAATACAAAAATTATGTGATTAATTATTATCTATCTTAACTTATTAGAAATACAGGCATCTTTGTATCTATAATGCATAATTTTAATGTACCATTACATTGACATAAATGACTACAAATGAAACTATAAAACCAGTCAATATATAACATACAACAATATTTTACATTCATCTGATAATGTGGATTTACTTACTTAATTTATTTTAACCTTAACTCTATAATCTACTAGTTATTATCTAGTATGTAAAAATCTTGTGTCACAGTGTTGTTGTTTGAAATTATTCCGAAGCGTCTTATAGCGAATATTATACATTTTTCGAGTATATATATTTATATAATATTTGGTAGATACGAGATGAGGTCATACACTTTTTATTATACACATAGAAAAAACAGTTATTGTTAGTATTAATATAATTAATAGATAATAGAGTCTCATATACATATTTTGTATAAATATAATATTATGTATATATTTAATATTTCTACTTTTACAAATACATTCCTTATAGAAAATACCTGCATACACATATTGCAGTAAGATTAAATTAGTCATCTGAACCAAATTATTACGCGTTGTCTTATATACCTAATAATAGTACCTTAGACTACTACATATGTATAATCTGTAACAATAGGTTGTTAATTTTATTTTATCTTCGAGCCAATGATATTAAATTGTTTAAAGCACCATTACTATACTAGGTTTATGCTGTCATACCTGAATGTTACTTCGGTAGACTATTGTAAATAAATGAAGCCTTGACCCACAGACCCTGACTTTATTTATTTTTCTTAAATTATCAGATTCAAACAGAATAATAATATTAATGTACAATTACACATTTTATTGTAATATAAGTAGATACTGACGTAGTTATATAATTGTAAAATTTATTGTCACTAAGGTTTATTTATACACAATGGTGTCATTACGTTCCTACCTAATTTCTAACTGGTACGTAGGTACAGCAGGCCATATTTTAGCATAGCTGATTCAATACTAAGTCTCGCCCACGAAATCCATGCAATGTAAACGCACAATTATTTCGTTAGTCAAATTTAAATATTATTTGACGTCGCTAACTATATATAATCCCATATATTCTTGTGTATTATATTATACAAGTAACGCCAACAACGTGATAACTTTCCTTATAATAAATACAAACTCGTATAGATAGTTAGTTAGATAGAAACGTAGTTTTAAAAGATATATCGAAATCTGTGATAGAGCAGTAAATCAAAACAAATTGGGTACCTAATCAAAATTTTGCAAAACGTTATACAGCACCTTAGATCAATTTTATTGTCAGTCAACGTATCACTGTTGTCATGTTTGTTTACTTGTCATTTTCATAAAAGCAAAATAAAATTAACAACTAGTGGACACCTGAGATTGAGCAGAATGGGGTCGACTTATCACCACAAGTAGAATTATATAAATATTGTATCGACTTGTTCAACAGTTAATGAAAGGGCTATAACAAGCAGCGCGATTTGCAATTACCTACTTACAAACAGTGCTGGTACCTACAGCGGCAATAACTCTGAATATTATCTGTTTAATAAAGGATATGCTAAAGTTTAACACAACAGGTTCTGTAGCTTAAGATCAGATACAACGGACAATGTCCGATTACGATTCCATAACATTAACTTATTATAACATGTTATAAACTATGTTGTATGTTGTAATACATTTGTAACTAAACGTAACTATTTGGAATTAATTTCATTTTAAATTTCACAGATTGCCGTAGCTTGCTTAGCGCTGGCCTGTGGAGCACATGCATCTGGCTGGGCTGGTCCCCCCGCCAACATTGCTCTGTCCCAAGATGGACGTAACATCCTCGACACACCTGAAGTAGCACAGGCCCGTGCATCCCACCTCGCTGCCCTACAGCAAGCAGCACAGAACAACCCTAACCCCCAGGACGACGGCTCCTATGATCCCCGCTGGGATAATGAGGAGTACTGGCAACGCGCTGAACAGCCCAAGTGGAACGCTGCTCCCGCTCAATCTTGGAACTCAGCTCCCGCTCAATCATGGAACGCCGCCCCAGCTCAATCATGGAACGCTGCTCCCCAATGGAATGGTGCCCCAGCTGCTCCCGCATGGAACGCTGCCGGTCAATCTCCTGCTCCCGTTGCCGAGACTCCAGAAGTAGCCCAAGCCCGTGCCGCTCACCTCGCCGCTCTTTCCGCTGCCAAGTCAGCTGCTCCCGCTCAACAACAATGGAACGCTCCCGCGCAGCAGCAGCAGTGGAATGCTCCTTCCCACCAGCAGTGGAACGCGCCTGCTCCTCAGTGGAACGGCGCTCCTTCATGGCAAGGCCAGCCCGCCCACCAGTCTGCCAACATCAGATTAGCCAATGACGGTTCCGGTATCTTGGACACCCCTGAGGTAGCAGCTGCCCGCGCTGCCCACTTAGCGGCCCACCAGCAGGCTGCGCACGCCGCTCCCCCCGCGCACGCGCCCCAGCAGCGCTGGTGAAGCTCTCTGTCTGTACTCGGTGCGGCTGGACGCAGCGCTAGCCCGTAGGTCGCGGTTGTAGGGGACCGCGTGTGTGCCATTACGCCCTAGGTCTGCGTCGAGGCGTCCGCTCCTTCCTCCGATCTCCTCTTCTTTTAGGAACTTTTCAAAGTGCAAGTGCGTCAGCCTATTCTATCCTTGTGGCTTTTTGTTACTTTTTTAAGGAAATTATATTAAACGAACATTTTGTACATAATAATTGTATGTATGCGTAATAAACGAAATATATAGAAAGGAAAATACTTCAGTTGTTTAAATTACTCACCTGATATTATGCATAAATTATATAGAGCAAGGCCAACTAGTAAAATGCACCTAAACAAGATGGTTACCACTGATAATGCCTATAAAATTGCAAAGCAATGTTTGCATCGGACTTGTTGAAGTGGCTTGATTATACCACTTTAAAAAATAAATACAGTTACCTGACAACAGTGTTGAAGAAAATTATAGAGAACTGCAGAATAGTGTAAATAGATAATAACACCATAGAAGTTGATATTACATTTATACCATTGTGTGTTACATGGTCAGATATCAATATATTGTACCTACCTAAAAATATTTGGATATTTACTTTTTTTTTTTTATTTATTTTATTTGTTTCACTGACATTATTATTATTTTTTTTTTTATTAACATGTATTGACTTTAGCTGCGATTTGATACAGCAGAAGTTTTCGTAGAGCTAGTTGTGTTTCACTAGGTGTTTATCATATATATTTATATAGATGACACACATACATATTTACATTATTTATATAATAAATAGTTTATGTTTATATATACATATATATATATATATATGCTATTTTATATATAATATTATATTTTATGTATTTACGCATTTATAGTCTTATGTGTTATTTATCTTTTTTAAATTATTCACTATTGTTTTAGCAAGTGTATCATAAGAAGCCAGAGTTTCCGGCTTCGTAATGATACTGGTCAACTTGTAAGGGGAGTCAATTTTATGCATTCGGCACACTTGTTCATGGTCGTAACGGGCTCTTCCAAAAATAGGACAATTATTGAAGAGATGTTCAAACGTTTGCTCACTGTTTTCATTACATGGGCAGTATGAATTGTCGGTGATGTGAAAGCGCATGAGATAACTCTTGACGTATCCGTGTCCAGTGAGAACTTGACTGAGATGAAAGGAGCGTTCTGTTCTGGAGAAGAGGTCTCTTATATTGTTGAGATGGGGGAGGAGCTTCCTGGTGTGTGAGCCTTGCTCAGCAGACATATACCTCTTTTCCCATGTAAGGAGACTGTTTTTCTTATATAAAGCTTTAGCATACGACAGTGGAAACTTATGGTAATCAGGAGCTTTATGTAGGCGACAGGCCTCTCCAGCCGCCGCGTCTGCAGCCTCGTTGCCTACAATACCCACATGGCTTCTGACCCAAACAATGTTAATGGGATTGTTGGCATGATGAAGATCATTATGAATGCGTGAAACAATTGGATGGGTATTGCTGCGATTCTGAATGGCTTTGATTGATGACAGAGAATCAGAGTATATGACTGTATGTGAGTATTGGTGGGTAATTGCCCATTCACAGGCTCGGGATATTGCAAGCAACTCAGCCTGATACACACTGCAGCTAGAATGCAGCTTAAATTTCTTTCTAGTGGATATTTACTATTCAATACTTTGTTTGTACACCAGAATTAATACACTATTATATATGAGTGTATTAATTAGATATGCACTATATACCATAGAACAATTGTTCTACGCTATTTCAACGACTACTATTTAAACTTTACTTAAATCCGGCAAGGAAATTCTCTAGCTTCTATGAATCGAAGTTTTTGGAGCGACGTCCTAAAGCCTACTATCCTATTATTATCCTAACCTATTATTCTATTTTAAAAACAACAATAAGAACCAACTGTCAAAGTGCGAGCTGGACTTCTACAATGTATGCCTGAACAAATACTTTAAAATAATCATTTATTTAAGCAGACTTTTATACTAATAGAATTAAGTCCTAAATGAAACGTGTGAGAAATAAATGCTAGATGTTAATGTAAATAATTAAATTGTAGTTAATAACAATCACGTAAACAAAGTATATACCTACCTATCGCTGAAATGTTGTAAGGTGTGTAACACATAGGTAACACAGTAAATTGACGTTTATCATTTCCCACTGATCAGATTGTTAATTAAACTAGCCTAGTCAATTGGAATGTACTCTACATGAATGTAATTGCTGTAATAAAAAAGTAAGTAGATACTTTGAAGAATTTAGCCAATTAACAACTGTTGTATATGTTCATCGGATAAAACAACTTACGTATTTCACTTGGCAGTCTCGTAACCATACCGTGACGAGTATAGACTGATAATACAAGATCTCTATATAGATAGACCACAGGTAAAGTAACATATCTGCAAATTTAAATAAAAACGTGAACTAAGACTTAGAGCCTGCTCTATTTACGAGAAGGTATTTTCGCTGGAAGACATAATGCCGCAACACATCATGAATATTTAAAGGTAGGGATATACATATGTAGGGATCTGGCACCGATGAATCTTGGACATGAGAGGTGCCACTACAGCCGCTGTGGAAACATCTGACTTTTTATTAAACTATAATAATAATCGCAGGACAATTCACACAGCGCCATCTAGTCTCAAGTTAAGCTACCTAATGCTTGTGTTATGGGTACTAGATAACTGATAAATACATAAATTTTTTTCGTAAGTACATACATATTATATATAGAAAATACCCAGACCGACACAAACAATCATACTCATGAATACAAGTGTTTGCGCCGTGCAGATTTCTGGGGGAGGCCTTTGTTCAGCAGTGCACGTTTTCGGTTTCCGGGCTGAAATGATGATGACGTGCATTAAATGATATCGTATCGTTTTATAAATATATATAACATATCATCATATATAAATATATATTGAATAAGAAACATAATAGATTAACTTCAGTACTTAGGTATCCGAGTATAAGCCAGTATACCTATGGAAAATTAGAGGTATTATTTTAAATTTACGATCCAACTTGAATTTGTAATTACATGGACAGAGATTGAAGAGGAACGATGAGTAGATTAAGTATCTAGAAAATGTATCATTTTGCCTTCGAATGCTAGCAGTTAGGTGGTAGTCAATTTATCACGATAGACGCAATCAAACGATTAGACTGCAATCAATGTGAAATTAGGTTAGCGCTAAGTAAATTTCATCGAGTAACAAATTACTGTTTACCACAATGACATTCAGACTGTTGGGGGCACAATTCTGACACACAAGCGAAAGTTAGTGGACGTACTTTTATACCAATGGATAATTGACCTCATTACAAGTTACTCCAGAAAGTTTTCAGAATGCGTCCAGGGAAACTAATGCCGGAGTCATTCAGAAAGGTAATATGAACTTACTATAACCAATATATTTTAGGTACATATTAACATTGTATGCTAGTGTAGATGTTGTGTATGCTAGAACATGTTAGTTGTAGAATGGTCTATGGCATTACTGTAAGTTTTATTGGAAATAAAATAAATTGAGCGTTTCGACATTTTACTTGGGAACCTACGAGATTAATGCCTATGACATTTTCATCTGATTAAGAAAAAACATTCAATTGTTACTGATACGATAAACAAGCTAAGAGCCCACTTGAAGTGGCAACTATTTTCTACATACATGATCATATCTACATATGTATATAAGATTTTACCACCATGTGACGCCCGTTCAATCCTGAGGGCTAAGATATTACTCTTCCGTACTGTGTAAATTCGAAAAAAGATGCTCTGCAACGACTTTGTTCAAAGTATTAGTTAAATTGAGAGCTTAATAGAAAATATTACAATACAATGCAAGAGAACAAGTCCACTGCGATATTATTGATTACCTTAGTATTAATTGTCAAATATACCTAATCATCAGATAAATATTTTATTCCAGCAAAATTATTGGACAACTAAAACTACTCAAGAACCAGTACCATGGTATGTTTGGGACACACGATCACCAGTAACCAAGGAGAAACCTGAGGCGAGTATTAGAACATCTACGGTTAGAGTATATGTTGGAGTACTGGTTATGTTCTCTAATAAAAATATTACATTACAGAAGAAAAGTTTATCCTGGTTACAAAAACCCGCAGTCAAATCTTTTAATAAAAACTTTAGGGACTACCTATTAACATCAACTTTACATGGCTTGCGATATATTGGAGAGCGGAAATTAACTTGGTTTGAAAGGTAAGAGGATAATGACTTTCTCTACATAAATATTAAACTACAAATAAAAACTTTAGCACATGTAGAAGGATTGTAATTTTTGAATCATGACTTTTGAACCTCATGTTCAAAGTTAATTTGTTTATGTAGGACCATTTTTTCAGTCACTTATTTAAGTCAAGTTTACTGTATTTTTTTCCTAGTCTACTGATTACTTAGGAACAGAATTTTTGTCTCTAAATCTGTTATTATTAAATTATTAATTTGGCTGTTTTTTTTAATCAATTGAAGATGCAGTAAGCATGTAATTTGTTTAAGTATGATTATATTTATATATATTGAATATTTGCTACTTTAAAATTACTATCTAATTTTATCTACTTACTACAGATTCTTTTGGCTGGCTGCGTTCGGTTCATCTCTTGTGTGTGCCGCGTTCTTTATCTTAAACGTGTACGCAAAATGGAGCATGTCTCCAATGATTGTAAGCATCAACCCGCAGAACATGCCGCTAAATGATCTGCCCTTCCCGGCCATCACTATATGCAACGTCAACCAAGCAAAGAAGTCTGTAGCAGAAGAGTACCTAAAGACCGGGTAATAAGGCATATTAATTCATAAATATCTCAGTCGTAGATTCTCTACATTTCACATATGTTATATATAAATTGTGATTGCAGATTTTAATTTATATTTGTTGTACATAAAAAATATACTTTTAGTATTTAAGAGCTTTTACAGCAGTAAATTTTGTACTTTGTACTCTGTCTGATCCACATATTTCAACCGCTAAGCAGCTTGCTTTATAAAACAACAAGGTACGGAAGCGTGACGATTCGTGTCCTGGAATAGCAACAAATGAATGATATGCCGTCATACCTGTTCATGATGGGGTTGCCACTTGCCACTTACCATCAGGTGGACCGTCAAATAAATGTTTTCATCGGAGAGTAAGGCGGTGTGCTCAACCGCTAGACCACCGAGGTCGTCTCAATATCATAATAGAATTAAGCCGATTTAATAGTCCTCTCTGTATGATAAAAGGCGTATATTTACAGCCTAAAGTACATAGATACACCATTTAACGATTGTTTATAACGTTGATCCTATAATGATTCAGGAAAAGTAGTGTTGATTCCCCGATCTCATTATCATTTTTCCATCATTTGCTGGTGTTCTACTAGCGTTGGTATACCATTTAAATAAACGAGACCTCGATTTCATTGCTATCAAATGAAAAGTAGTATACAAGAAATTTATGTAATTAATATTAAATTAACACAGCAACTCTGTGGACAAGAAATTATTAGTAAGTTTGTGCACATCGCAAAATGATGCTGATATATTTGAAGATAATATAGCAGAAAGTGCTACTTGGGATTATACACGCACCTTTCTCATAAATGTGAGTACTAATGTTACTACTAAGTAAATTTAAAGAGAATTCGTTTCATGACAATGCCGTTCAAGTAGATTCTGTATCAAGTAAGACAAAGTGTCATAATTGAAATTTTAGATATTGCAATAATAATTGTACACATCGTATTTAGAAGCGGTGAAATTATATTGACTTCAGTTAATGATTATTCGCAACTGATCTAATCTACATTTTACACAGGTGACACAGCCGTGTAACGAGATGTTGATATTATGTGAATGGGACTCCCACATTAGAAGCTGTCGTGACCTGTTCAATGCACAGTTAACTGACGAAGGCCTTTGTTGTACCTTCAACGTCGTCCATCGGAATATGATGTTCCGAAATCCGTAGGTCTTCTAACATCATCAATAGCTTAAATACAAGCATTTTATTTAATGTTATTACATTAATAAAATATATCTTTATATGCAGAGCCTCTCTAAATGATTTGAATCTGACATTTCCATTGCCAGCTGTTGATTGGACACCAGAAGATGGTTATCCAAATGATGCTCCAACTAATGGATTCCCTTGGAGACCGCAAGGTGAATAAAAATAAACATATTTTGAAGCAAATGCTTAAATGAGGAGGTGCTCAATATCCTATATTATATATTTATTACCCATATGAGACCTATTAACAGTTTAAATCGTAAAATACACATATAAAATAGTTGTATTTAAATTTAATTTTTCTTATATACTACTCTTCCGATTCAAAAGCACTCTTAAAGATATTCTTGGCCTTTTTGTAAGCTCTTTCAGTTGACGGGTCAGATTTCATAGTTAAATTTTAGAGGATCCACCTATAGAGCCTATCTACGTAATAGATGAACTTTTCCTCGTTAGATTCGTAACAAAAAAAACATAATCATGCAAAATAGCATTTAAGATGTATAAAATTTCATGTAATTATCTAACATAATATTTCTGTTAAAACTGTCCCACTAGGAATTGGCACCCATCATGGCCTGTCATTGATATTAGATGCAAACATAGACGAATATTATTGTTCCTCTACAAAAAGCACTGGATTCAAGGTAATTCAGCATAGTAATATATACCAACGATAGTAAAATTTATTTTTTAAATATTTTTTTAGAAAATTATGTTTAACATTATAATGCAAATGTTTTTAATTACCTAAAAATATAGATCAAAAGATTTTTTCTTTAACCATTAAACATGGTAATCGAACTAACTTGATATCTAGTAGATATCAACATGTACTGATACCATCATTCTTACTACATGAAATAGACTATCATATAAGAGTCTAGATTCTAAACTAACAGTTTACAATAATTAAACAAAGAAAATAAGTGTTATGTACGTAAGAAAATACTTGCACGCAAAATAATATCGGTTAACATTATCGTATTCTCTTATTGGTTTATTCTCTATGAAAGTAATATAGAATGCATGAAACTATTAAAACCAATTAGATGTCTACTTTACAGATACTTCTCCATAATCCAACGGAAACACCAAAGCTAGCGAATCTAGGAGAAATATATGGAAGCGGAACTGAAGTGAGAGTAAGCATTCAACCCAGAATTCACGATGCCCACCCAGCGCTTCAGTCTATTGACATACAAAAAAGGTTGTGCCTGTTCTCCAAGGAAAAGGAATTAATTTTTTATAGGTGAGTAAGGTACCTGGAGTGGGCTATACACGAGTTTTCGGAGGATTAGAGTAGAGATGGATAATAGAAGATAATCATATATATCTTAATGGAAATATTAGGAACATTTATCGATATTTTGTCATCTTTGTCGAGTACGTTAGAAAACACATGGTGAGGGACGAGGGTACCGTAATAAAATTTATCTTCTTATCTAACATTAAGATGCCTTGTATCGTGAAAATGTAATAGACAGAGAGAAACAGAGACACTTTCGTATTTATAATACTACGAGTTATTTCAATATTATTATTTGTTTGTATTCAACATAAAAATGTAAGGAAACAACAAAATTATTTAAAAGAGCAACACGCAATTTTATGTTCATTCTTCTTGTGATGACGCAGCGTTCCAAATGAGCGATAGATTGAAAAAAAATATTATGACTATTCAAAAGTGCTTCAATATAAGTTTATTTGAATAAATTTTTTCTATTTCTATTTCAATAAATAATTAAAATAATTATTGTAGATACCATCGAGATACTTTTTACCTACATAGTCGCCTGCGTGGGCACCTCTGTCTCAACTCTTATGAATCAATCTCTTTATGCAAACTAAGCAACTTGCTTTGAAATCTAAATATATGGCACTTAAATTACAGACTATGATGATATGACCTTCGTCCTCAGGAATAGTAACGCATAAGGGATGTCACATAACGACTAAATGTTCGTGACGCTGTTTAATTACCTATATGTGTAGGCAACGGTTGTCTATTGCCCTCATTAGTGGTGTGCTTGTTATATATAGAATGCACAGCCCTATAGATATATGCTGAATAGCAGAACTTATACACACACGCCGAAGAATAAATGAGGCCGCAATGACATTGCAATATAGACAATTTCAATATAGTAGTTGGACTGTTTCAATTTATAATATTCTATATTATAAATTTAATATTAAATCTTTACAACGGAGACTATCTTGTGGTAACTGTGGTTTACATTACGACTTCTGAAGTACTTATATTCGTTCTAGCATTAAACGGTGTAGGTAACTCCCATTTTAGTTATAGTCGGTTTTACTTGAAATATAAGTTAGAAACCCTTTGGTTTTCTATGCCCGCTGTATGCGACTTTCGTAATTTGCTTATTTTTCATAACAATAGACCGTATATTCTTACAGGACCTACACTCTGAAGAACTGTGAAATGGAATGCGAGGCTAACGCTATGATAAATCAATGCCAATGTGTTTATTATTATATGCCCAGTAAGTATACGTACAAATACTACAAAAAAAGAGAGGTAGGTATGAGTATATTCAATTAATAATTAGTAACATTGTATTTTAGAAAATAAAACAACGCGTGTATGTGGGAAAGCTGACGCCAAATGTTATGCGAATATGACACGAGCTGCGAGTGTACGAAGTAAGTATTATTATTGTATTGAAATATTGTTGATATGTTAACTAATTATATATTATAGACATGAAATAGCCCATTTTTCAGAGTTATACGAAACGTTTACACAGAGCGTTCTAATTCAACCTGAACCGATTGGAACCTATTTCTTCCCCTTTCTTCTCTGGTAAAAGGCGTGGGGGGACATGCGGGCAACTAATTTCCGAATAACAATCTGTTGGTAATTACTATTACCAACCCTATACTTATACGCCGTACACTTGATTGCCGCCATCGTGTTATAAAAACGTTACTGTATTTTCATATTAACTCCCTAATACTATTTTTTAAATCAAGCTAAAGAGTGCATGGAGTGCTTCCCAGCGTGTACCGAGATAGCTTACTTCGAACGTATGAGTACAGCGCCCTTAAATAAGAGACTAGTCAAACAGCTAGCAAGAACGTTTAAGAAAACAGTGGAATACTTTGCGTAAGTATATTTTTGACAGTACTAATAATTATTTGTTATTATAGTCTTATAATATAACTCTAATCTACTGGTTCAATTAGTATTTTTTTCGGACTACTCTAATGCTATTGGCCGCAGCTTCTGGCCTTTACAGTTTCACCGGATGATAAGGGGCGGTGCAGATGGCATTCCAAACCCGCGGAAGGACTTACAGAGGATACAACTTTAAAGTGAGAGTACCGCTAGGGGTTAGAACCTCGGCTCAGGCCGTCGTAATTTCGATCCCTGTTTGAATTGGACGAGGATCGATCAATCGGATCGGATATAATATTGGCTAACATAATCCCATACACACTCTCCTCTCACTGTGTCCTCTGTATGTTACAGAGAAAACATGTTGGTTGTACATTTTTACTTTGATGACGACACATTCACGCGACTGACTAAAGGTGAAATATTCGGACTCACAGAATTCCTATGTAAGTTGTGTTGACAACAATTTCTATACTTATTTATTCATATTCCTAAAGTATAAGCACTTATAACAAAGCCAAGCCAATTTGGAATACCATGAAGAGTTTTAGTAGTTATACGATGTATAGGTATTTGGTACTCAATTCTGCATAATAATTATCTATATGTACTTCATATGGCACATAATATTAATTGTATCTGTACCAAGAATAAAAGATATTTCATTTTATATTAAACAAAAACGACTAATTTAAAAAACTAACCTATAGCACAGATAATATAATATTACCTACATACCTACAGTAAGTAGCGAAGTAGAGGCGGCAAGGAGACAGTTACGGATAGGCTGCTTTTATTAAACTTCGTCAGGTTTGCTCGTTGCCTCTATTACAAAACCTAAAAACAAATGCAGTACGCAGTTAATGATGATAAATCTGATATAGTGATTCTCTAACTGTGCGTCACTAGCCCAGGGGCGTCGCAAAACTTCAAGAGCCCTGTTCAAGAACTTCCCAAAAGTTCATCTCAGGAAAGCAAACTGTAAACAAAAGGATACAATGATGACGAACAAGTAAACTGCCCATCTGATGGTAAATGGTTACCGTAACCTATAGACGCCTGAGACTCCAAGGGCGTCATGTGCGCGTTGCCGACCTAACTACCGTTTTTCCTAATAGTAAAATTAATTTCGAAATTGAGAAATATATATATATTGAGAAATATAAATATATATATAATATACATATATATATATAATTTAGTAGATATCAATTATATCCGCAAATAGTAGACCAGTCACATTATTATAATAAGCCATTTATGTTGCAGCGAATACTGGCGGTCTGCTCGGTCTGTGTATGGGCTTCAGCGTGATGAGTGCTGTCGAATTGCTGTATTACTTGACATTACGAGCGCTATGCATGGGAAGGCGGGAGAGACGACCAACCCATCCTTTTACTACTTAAGTAATAATAAGTTCATGTGCGATGACACATGCCCAATTTAATGTAGCAAATACAAATACACAGTCACCTCATAACATATATGAGACACTAGTTTAAATTATACAAAATCGAACTTGAAAATATATATAAACACAAAAAGGGTCCTTCCACGTAGTGTCACGTGTCATTCAGTAATAGCACAGATAAGAGAATAGTAATAAATGTAGTTACCACCGACGGCACAGTGTATAATATAGATATGACACCATATATATACGAGTATAAATATGATACCGTACGTAATATTCATACTATTTGTGTAAGGTTTAAACGACCTACAGAATATTATGTACTTTCCATCAGTTGGGTCCTCAGCTTGTCTTTGCAATTGTATAAAAGCCGGACTTCTGTCAAGTCCTCATAATATCTACATCGAATATTACTCATTTTACTCAATATTATATACATATATGTAGATTTGTTTGTAGTTGTAGTATTCTGTTATAATAATAATATCGTAGTATTTTTTAAATAAAAAGTATTTATGAATATCGTTGTTGTATTTCATGAGTAATTCAAATAACAATAACTTTTTCCCAATCTGAATAGTGTTCGGGCTATGCTTAGTTGTCCAGTTTATAATATGGTAGTGACATCTACCATGATAGGTTGTTAATTAATATACCATGTCAGGGCGATCTCTACTCTCCCTCTTTGAAAATCATCGTGGTTAATTCCTGAAATTTTTAATTCGCGTCGTGCTAACTGAAGAAAACATTAAAATGGATTATTTTCATGAAATTTAAAGACAAAATATATAAAAATATCAATATATTTACTTCATAACCTATAACATTATTTTTATATTACAATTATTTTCAGTCTTTGTACAGATAATGAATATAATATACACAGGGACATATTTACAACAACGGATTCGATAGATCAATTATCTGATGTTTTATTACGCACTGGTCACGCAGTTTAAGCAATTTGGAAAGTTACATTTGTTGTCTGTTCTAATTTAAAATTAATTCAGTAAGAAATTTATGTATTATTTTATAATTGTAAATCGTTATTTACCACGAATAATACAAACATTAGGACTGCAATTTTCTGATCTGTAATTATCCGTGAACTTGAAAGGGCTAGAATTTGGGAAACGACAGACTGACCACCGATTTAACAATAAATCAGTCATATTTGACTAAAAATTCACCAAGTTTTCGCTTCGTGTATTAAAATGTGTACGAGATACTTGCAATGGTAATCACCAATTGCAAGTATCTCGTTTATATAATGTGTACAATATTAAGTGGTTATCTATAGTACATTATGATTGGTGTCGCGATGGGAGTTGTAGGGGTGGCGCGGGAGGCGCGGGGGGCGCGGGTGCGTCTGGCGGCTGCAGGGTGCGCGTGCGTCGCCGAGTATAATGCTGCCACAACAGTATCGCCTGGTCATCCATAAACTTGCATACCTACAATTAAAATGCATACTTATATTATTCATCTGCAGAGGAAACGCCATTACACATCCTATGTGGTTGTAGCCCACTCATGGCATAAACGTAATATCTCTTTGGAAAGTTTACACTCTATCCTGAGGAGATAAAAACCATCGCTCCTAAGAATTTCCTTCAATTCTTGTCCCCTGACGGGTCTAGGTAGGGAACTATGAAAAAGGGCGAGCACAATAGATCCAAGCACCAGACAATAGCCCAGACCCCCAAATAAAAAATAAAATAAAATTATATCATGCTCATGAATACAAATGTTTGTAGCGTGCGAAGGATCGACCGATGGTCGCGGCCGTCAGAAGTAAGGCGGTGTGCTAAATCGTTACACCGAGCCAGTTATGGTAGGTATTCGAAATAATAGATAACTAGTATTTTTATTTATTTGTAAACCATTTGGAATAAAAAAACGCAAAATTTTAAATGTAGGATACCACACCACATTAGGTAAAACAACATACATATCAGGTAAGCTATTTCTGATATTAGTGTGGACAAACATACAGACAAATATTATAACAATAATTGTTTTGTTATAATATTTGTTAATTATATATAAGTTGTAATAATAATTACACTGATAATGTGCCCCAATGTTTTTTTCCATGTACATGGAATTACTAATTCCACCTACATGGACTCTTGGAATCTTCAGAAATCAGACAAAACATTGAAGAGTCAGTGATAAGTTACATTTTTATTATATGTATACACGTCAAACCTTTGTAACAGGATCATAATTTATAATAATAATGTTTCGGAATTATAAAGTAAACCAGATTACATTACTGAGAAAGTAATAAACTATATTTACGCTGTATAAATAATACAACAAACAAACCTGTGCTGAGACACATTCCCTTCTGAATGCTTCATGCTGTAGTAATTCCAAAAAATGCAAACACATAGGATACTTGAGATACCGTGCATACTCTGGTTCTCGCCAGTACTGTAAGTAGCGTAGATAGTTCACAAAGTTCTGCTCCTTTAGATAGCCCCGTTGTGCGAGAACTGGAAAAGCAGAAACAAGAAATGTTTGAAACAATTAACTAATCCTTACTTCAAATGGTCGCAGCTTCAAATACTCACACAGCACAAATATTTATATTCATGAGTTCCATTTGTTATCGATGTTTCCTATGCATGTTATATGTATATGTATTTTTAAAAAATCTATTTATACCAGTACTTCTAGTACCAATAATACAAGTTCTGCTTAGCTTCCTAGTGTTAATATTATAATCGGAGCCATTTTAAAACACCTTTGTGATGAATTCTAAACATCTTTCTTACGAAAGTTAAGAGTTCATTTCTGACAAAATTAGTAAGAGATTAACAAGTAATACGTATTAAAGCTTTATTAATTAATAATAATCATTATGATTTCAAAATATCAGTTGAAATGTAATGCAATAAAAACACAAAACATATTTGAGGAACATATATTTTTATGCGTTTTTATGTGCGTGTGGTGTCGCTGTAAGAATAACACCACCCTCTCTTCCCGTGGGTGTCGTAAAAGGCGACTAAGGGATTCATCGACCAGTGGACGGGTAGCAGCGTTCTACTGAGTAACTACCATCATACTGCGATCGCCAACCCGCATGCCAAGCGTGGCGATTATGGCAATATCCCCCCAAATGGATTTACACCCAAGGCGCCGGCCCCCAGTCCCCGGCGGCCCCGCTAGTTTTGACCATGGTAGCGGTCATGGAAACGCCGGGGCAGGGGGTGCGAAGAATCTCCGGGTAAGACCAGGCTACCACAAACGACGACCACTGGCCCTGGCAACATACAACGTTCAGACACTGCGGACCGACGAAAAGCTAACTGAACTGGAGGAAGAGTTGAGCAGATTGCACTGGCATGTCGTGGGATTATCTGAAGTCCGAAGAAAGGGGGAGGACTCGATAGTCCTGAAATCCGGCAATCTGCTTTACTTCCGGGAGGGCGATCAACTGTCCCAAGGCAGTGTCGGGTTCCTCGTCCACAAGTCCCTTGTGAATAATGTTATTAAGGTCGAGAGCGTGTCGACTAGGGTAGCGTACCTGATACTCAGAATTACCAAACGGTATTCGTTGAAGGTCATCCAAGTGTACGCTCCAACTTCGACGCACTCCGATGATGAGGTTGAGGCTATGTATGAGGATATCTCCAGAGCCATACATAGTACAAAGACTCATTATAACGTTATCATGGGGGACTTTAACGCAAAATTGGGCAAACGAAGCGGTGATGAGCTGAGAGTGGGGCAATTTGGTATCGGTGATCGGAACTTCCGAGGTCAAATGCTGGCCGACTTCATGGAGAAGGAGAGCTTCTTTATGATGAACTCCTTCTTCAGGAAGCCGGAACACCGGAAATGGACGTGGATTAATCCCGATGGTGCCACAAAAAACGAGATAGATTTCATCTTGTCAACGAGAAGACAGATTTTCAATGATGTCTCTGTGATCAATGCCGTCAAAATTGGAAGTGATCACCGGATTGTAAGAGGCACATTGAATCTGAATCTGAAACTCGAACGATCCCGACTGATGAAATCTACGCTCCGCCCTACACCTATACAGATCCAAAACCCCGAAAGCTTTCAGCTAGATTTGCAAAACCGTTTCGAATGCCTTGGTGACTGCGTTGACGTGGACGATTACAACAACAGGTTCGTAGAAACTGTCCGTGCGGCTGGGTCTAAGCACTTCAAAACCCGCCGCGCAGAAAGAACCGGAAAAATATCTATCTCTACCCTCAAACTGATGGATGAAAGGCGAAGTGTGGTCCTGCAGTCTCCGACTGACGCTTCCCAGTATCGGCAACTTAGCAGGCAGATCTCTAAGTCCTTGACTCGAGACTTACGCCACTTTAACACAAATTGTGTAAAGGAGGCTATTGAGAGAAACAAGGGTTCAAAAGTCTTTAACAGGGATCTGGCTGCCGGACAGAGCCAGCTGACGCGACTTAAGATGGATGACGGCAGGATCGTATCGTCTAAACCCGAACTTTTGAGGGAAACTGAGAAATTCTATGGACAGTTATATACGACAACACGGGCACCTGTTAACAACACGGCGAAAGACCCTAGAGCCAAATTAACCCGACACTATACCGAAGATATCCCGGACGTCAGCCTGTACGAGATTGGTATGGCTCTTAAACAACTTAAAAACAACAAGGCGCCGGGCGATGATGGAGTTACTGCTGAGCTTCTGAGGGCTGGAGGTAGACCTGTTTTACGAATCCTCCAGAAGCTATTCAACTCCGTCATCCTCGAGGGCAGAACGCCTCAAGCATGGCAAAGGGGTGTGGTGGTTATGTTCTTCAAGAAGGGAGACAAATCTCTTCTGAAGAATTTCAGATCCGTAACACTGCTGAGCCATGTTTATAAGTTATTTTCGAGAGTCATCACGAATCGTCTCGCGCGCAGGTTTGACGACTTCCAGCCTCCCGAACAAGCCGGGTTCCGAAAAGGCTTCAGTACCATAGACCACATTCATACGCTGCGGCAGGTAATTCAGAAGACCGAAGAATACAACCTGCCACTTTGCTTGGCGTTTGTGGACTATGAAAAAGCCTTTGATTCGATCGAGACGTGGGCTGTGTTACAGTCTCTCCAGCGGTGCCAAATTGACTATAGATATATCGAAGCGTTGAAATGTTTGTATGAAAACGCCACTATGTCAGTTCGCCTCCACGACCAGAATTCGAAGCCTATCCAACTGCAGCGAGGTGTCAGACATGGCGATGTCATATCGCCAAAGCTGTTTACTGCTGGGTTGGAAGATGTCTTCAAGCTTCTGGACTGGAGCGGGCTGGGCATCAACATTAACGGCAAGTACATCAATCACCTTCGATTTGCCGACGATATCGTGGTCATGGCCGAGACCCTGGAAGACCTTAGCAAAATGCTCGAAGACCTCAGTAGAGTCTCACAAGGAGTAGGTCTTAAAATGAACATGGACAAGACGAAAATTATGTCAAACGTCCATGTCGTACCTGCTCCCGTAAAAATCGGAGATTCTAAAAATTGTCGATCACTACGTATACTACAAACTATCCAGCTAGGTAGATTTTCGATCATCGTCGAATCCAACTCGGATGGGCAGCGTTACGATATATGTATCAAGACATATAAATGACTTACGGAACAGAGATCCGCCCCAGCAGAAGAACCAGAGTGACCGACATCCGAAGAATTGCGACTCTAAAGTGGCAATGGGCAGGGCACATAGCTCTTAGGACAGATGGCCGTTGGGGCAGTAAAGTCCTCGAGTGGCGACCACGGACCGGAAGACGCAGCGTGGGAAGGCCTCCAGCAAGGTGGACCGACGATCTGGTCAAGATCGCTGGAAGGCATTGGACATATGTCCAGTAGTGGACGTCTTCCGGGCTGCGATGATGATGATGATGATGATATTTTTATGCAGCAAATAGTATAGAGTAATAAAAAAAATTAGAAATTGAGGATATTTTCATTTGCTATTTTTTTATAAAACAGTTTTGAGTCTTATAACATATTGAGTGTGTGTGTATGTTAATATATATTTTGGATGGAAGGGGTTTGATAATAATGTGAATTGATTTCTTTCCCCCTAGAAACCATTATGTTAAATTCCTAGTCAAAATTGTCACAATGGTGTAGATGACCTGACATCATGCTCATTGTATCATACTTCACTGGTGTCCCTCCAGTGTAAAATGTTAGCGCAGACGAGTGCACTATTTAATTACACCCATAAAATATATGTATACATATATGTAAATATTTTTGTTATAATGTTAAAATGTACTCACAATGTATGTAATTAGGATTGGCCAAACATTGAACAAACTCTAGCTCCACTTGAAATCTTATTCTGTTTTGATCCTCATTTTCCGGCATTACTGTATACAATATCAAATAAAGGATAAATTAATAAACATATAATTTTTAAGTTTTTAATGTTTACTATCTATATATTGTGATCTTCCTATCAATTATCTAATACCCCAACATAAGCTTGAGATTAGATGGTGTTGTGAGAATTGTCCAGGGTTATAAATATTATTTTTTCATATTATTGTACTAAGTATCACCACCAACCCAGTCCAATGGTGTTTTCAAATTATCCATACAAATTTTACCCAATATGTAACCAAACGGCTGGTTCTAGGAGCGAATCAGGCGATAAACACACATACAGAATAATTACAATTATATATAATATTTCAAATATTAATTAATATCTCCAAAATGACCATACCCATGTAGGAAATGTAGCATATCTAACATATCAGTTCTCTGCAAGACCATTAAAAAAAAATATTCCGAGAGTTCAGTAATGATCGTTATTTTTTTTATTATTTTGTTTCCATAAAAGCTCCCTGGGAAACAAAAAATAAATAATGTGTGTAATCAAATATTAGATACAAATTATCGTACCTTTACCTGCCATCATCTTGAATAGAACACTAGAAGCTCTTGGATTACAATGTGTTCTATTTAGGAAATAACTTAAAAATACCAATCTATAACGCCATTATACAACTACAAATTAATTTTAACTTTTACTATTACTGCAAACTCGAAGATAAGTTGGAATCGCAATTCACAATGCACAGAACATCAAGATGCTTCAACGTACTAAGGGGTGCAGATTACCCTGTGCAGTATGCGTCTGTTGTGTAGAGTTGTGTACAATAAATAAACATACACTCTAAAGGCGTTGTGTAATTAGTTAGCGAACGATCTAGTACGGATTGACAAGAACCGAAATTACGAGATTATTAATATTTCGCAGTTAAAACATTTTCAACCTCGAGTATGTAATAGTTTGAGACTAATGAGACTTTAACTTATAGAATTCGTTGAAAATACGATGGCATATAGGTTAGAGAGCCAAATTTTACCAGAATTTTTTTAATATTATATTGTTGGTACCCCAGATTTATAGCAAGAATGTATTAAATCTGTGGTAATAGTATGTCAGCTATTTCTTTATGTAGTCTGTAGTGCTGTCTCATTAATAGTTGTCTCTATTGTTCTCTTGGTTCTAATTCCTTAATTATTTTTTTTATAGTTTGTGTTCTCTCTTTATTGTTTAACTCATTTGAATTGTGTTGTGTGAATTTCTTTGTTGTTAACGTATTATTATTTCGCCAAATATTACAAGGCCTTTGCATCTGACACTTATAGAGGTAACATGGCAGGGCACAAATACATTAATTCTAATAATCTATTCGAGGATGATGTTGACGACGACACTTTCGTAAATAGCTATTCAAGAAATAGAATACCTCCACCTCAACCAAAGCCAACATCTCCTTATGGTGGTCATATATCAGACTTAGAAAGACAACGGCAAGCGATGATACAGCGACAACAGGAAATAGAACAACGTACTCTTGATTCATCATCTCGAAGTATAGGCCTACTGCGTGAATCAGAACAAATTGGTATTGCGACAGCTGAAGAACTCGCGCGTCAACGAGATGTTCTACAAAATACCAACACAAGACTTGACAAGATAAATACTGATCTTAATGATAGTCAAAGACATCTTAATGGTATAAAATCAGTCTTCTACGGACTTAAAAACTACATATCTGGAAAGAGTGAGAAAACGCCTCCTCGTAGTCAAATGTCACCATCTTCAAGCAGCATGCAAGCCGGTCCTGCTACCAGTGGCCCGGTTGATACTCTTGACAAACTTGAATCAACTGGTGATTCTCGCTATGACGCCCATCCATCTGTTCGGTTGCGTGGACTGGATATGCAAACTAATCAAGCAGTTCCAAACAGCCAACGTGTCAATCAAATGCTAGATGCAAACCTAGATGAGATGGCTCATGCTATATCAAGACTTAAGGGACTTGGAACTGCTTTAGGAGATGAAATTGAGAGTCAAAATAAACTGTTAGACACAATATATGACAAAGTTGAGAACACAGATGTTAAAATTGGTAAACAAAATAAACAAATGAATAAAATACTTGGTAAATAGTTCACCGTTTGTTGACTAGCAAAATTTTCCATTAAGTATTCCAGATATATTTTATTATTATGTTTAATCACTATTGTTTACTATATAAAAGAAACAATCAATCTCATCAACTTAAATTCCAAATTGAAGTGTTGTACTGTATATAATATTGAAAACACTAGTAGAAGAAGAATATATGCTATTACTGTTGTATTAAAATATGAATTTGTTTTATGTATAAGACAGTTTTCTGTTGCATAAACATTACTGTTTAATCACTGTAACAGCTCAAATTTCAAAGTTAATGTATATAGTATTAAATTTTGTATAAATTTGCAGATATCTTTATAAATAAAAATGTATGTTTTTATTAGATTTTTTATTGTAATTTTAAACAAAAAAAAATCTGTCTAATAATTGTACATAATTAGAAGCATTAATGAACCTTATCTATATAAAACCAGAAATGAGCTGAATTAGCTTATCACTAAATTAATTAAATTTACCTATGCCTAGATAAGACTATGCATTTGATGCCCACAAATGGCTCTATGTAACATGTATGGTATAAAATTACAATATATTTTTATTTCGTAAAATATATGTAAATAAAATATTTTATTAAATTTTTGTTTCCTTCAAAGATTGTTAACACTGTCTCATTAATGTAGTATCCTAATTATCTAATTAGAATTTAGGTTATCTAGATACAATGTACTGTATGTAATAGAATTAGCTACTATACATTATTAGTATTTTTTTAGTTAGAGCACATATAGACATAAATTGCAACTAAAATATATCTGCTGAGGGTTTTTGCAAATTTTTCAGTAACTCGGCTAATTAGAAATCATTGTATTTGTCCTGTAATGCTATCATCAACTGTAATTAATCCATGTTCTTACGTCAGAATAGTAAAGATATTCTTTATGAAAAAGATATAAATTTAATAATTCTACAAAAAAATAAAAATTTGTTTTGAAATGCATAAATGATAATTTTCTTTCATGTTTTACCTGAACTAATAGCATTATTTATAAATACAAACTCCCATTTTGAAGACTTACAATAAAGTTAAAAATCATTACCATTAGTAGTTTGAGAAGGATGGTTGAACATTTATTAACATATGTATTATATAAATAGAAGTTTCATAAGTATTCTATATTGTGTTTGTACACCTTGTAAGTCTAACCCCATTGTGGAATTTACAAAAAGTTTTTCTCTAGGACAGTCTCTAACAACATCAGCTTGTACATGATGGTGTGTGAATTATCCATGTTTGGATCAATGACTAAGAATCATATATCTGATTTCTGATAAAAAGTACACCTTAATGTTGTGTGCATTTTGAACTTAACAATCATAATCAATTAATGTTAGGATACTATTATTTTTTTCTAGGGTTATATCTGGAAATAATAACATAATAGATACATTATCTTATTTTTTAATTCTCACTTTAACATGGTGGGCTTCAGAGTACAAATGTAATTATTAGCAATCATGTCTCAAAAATCAAGTAGCATCTAAAAATATAGTCTAACATTTTAAGGAAATTACATTAATCAAAGAAAACATCATCCACAACTGTTTCCAATATCATGTCATCTGTATCTACATCATGTCCCTTATTGTGCTTCTGTAATATTCTCTTGCTAGCAAACTTCTTATCACACCGATTACAACTTAACTCCTTATTAGTATGTGAGTCTCTGTGTACCTTTAAACCATATATGGTAGCAAAACCTTTAAAACATATATTACATTTATGAGGTCTCTCAGTGCTATGTGTATGAGCAATATGCACTTGCAGAGAATGCTTAGTTGAAAATCTCCTTTCACAGCCACTCTCTTGACATGAAAAGGGCTTTGGCCTCTCTTGGCCAGTATGAATTAAACTATGTGCTCTCAAATATGATGCCCTCGTATATGTTTTTGGACAATAAGAACAAGCAAACTGTTTTTCTCCATTATGGCTCTTAATATGCATCATTAAAGTTGATTTTGCTGTGAAACTCTTTCCACATGTTACACACACAAACAGTTTACGGTTGCTTGAATGTGCTACACGGAAATGTTCCTTCAGTGATTGACGTGATTTATAAGTTTTATTACAAAATCCACATTTAAATTGGGCGACATCTTTATGTGAAATAGAATGTTGCTTTAGACCATTAGAAGTATGAAATCTTTTGCCACATTTGGAGCATAAATATTTACGAATGTTATTGTGTTTAGTCATATGGTAACGTAATCCATATATTCTAGTGAAAGACTTAGAGCATATGTTACAAATGTATCTCTTTTCCCCTTCCTTTCTTGGTGGGTGTTCCGTTGCTGTAATTTCAGTTACGGGTGGCAGAGGTGTCAATTCTTTACTTGTATTGAGTGTAGGCTCAAAATCTAATGTAGCATGACTGCTAAAAAGTGGTGTATCATACTCATGATCTTGATATACCACATTAATGTCAATGGAATCAATATCAGATCTTTGTAAACTAGATGACTGGATACTAAGTAATTGTGTAAGGGTCGTATTAGCTTTTAAACAGTTTATCTTAAAGTTGTAAGCATGTAAAGCAGTTGAAACACAAGATGCACACATTCCTTGCGGCCAGTTTTCTTCATCATTATTCTGAAACCAAAGTGGTTTGAATTTGTCATATGTTTAAAATAGATAAATATAACTAAATAATCATATAATTTCAATCATGTAACATGAACATATTTTCTATTATAACAAACCGAGGTATAAAATATTTGAATTGTGATGGAGCCAACAGTACATAAAACAGAGTCAATGAGGAATTAATATTTTTGTTAATGTAAAACCAAATCTATGACTGTTCAAAATTTTTACGAAAACTGCAATAGTGCTGGGAGAGACAAAGTTGTACCTATAAGGATTACCATACCCTTATGGTTCTGAAACTGAACAACCTATAATTACCGTTTACATGTATATATAATCTACTGAAATTAAATATATATATATTTGTAAATGGTAAATTGAGATATTGTTTAAGCTTTTGTAAGGTAAATATTGATATGGATGGACATAGGTTATATTAGTATATATTAGCAAACATCATATATAAGTATTAGCTTATACAAAATATAAAGTAATAATGAAATTAATGAAAAACCAAAAATACGACCACGACGTGTCTCAGCGTATACGCTTAAATGACCGCGTTATACAATGCATACACTGTTATTTAAATGAAATCTTAATATTATAAAGTATTTGAGCAATGATTGCATTTAAAGGCTTACCTCTAGGCAATTAAGGAATACTAAAATATCTATCAGCTTAACCTTAATCATATCATGTTCAATCAAATCTTGTATGTTCATGAACATGTTTGTATCTGTATCTATTAATTCCCCGAGACAAGTTCGACAGATATTCTTTGTTATAGGTAATATTAAACTATTAAACTCCATCTAGACAAATATTTCTAGAATCTTGAGAATTTATGTACTAAAAAAACCATTTTCGAATAAAATTTATAATAGCATTACAGACAGATAAGAAAAGAAACCTGTGGTCTGTGACTGTGACGTGTGATGTAAAGAGAGTAAAGATGAGACCACAATACACAGAGTATATAAAAATGACATTTTGACATTCGTTTAGTAAAAATGACATTTATGAAGGATATCGCCCTATAAAGCAACAAAAAGACTTTTAATTATATGTCCGTAGTTCATCCTCAATTGGTTCTGAATTTTATATTAACCATTTAGGGGTATTATTTTCAAATTATGTACAGGAATTCATTGAATTTACTATGTTTCATTTTTTGTGAAAATTTCGACTTCATCCTTATCAACCCTTACCTACCCTATAATCTTGTACGGAGTACGGTGCGGCTGTAGACGAAAACAGTAAGTTCATTACATTTCCGTACACAGTTGTAAAATATAGCTGCAAAACAAAAAGAACGCAAATTGCAAGAACGCTTCACAATAGCAATTATGTACGAGTGAAATGGGTACCACTACCAACCAACGAAAAACAAGTACCATAGATAACTAATATTGATCTGTGATATTTTTTTGTGTAGTCCTCTAAATCTTTCTGCTCTGTGCTTGTCTTGAATTGGACTCGTGTACGATATTGCTTTTTTTAACATTTTCAGGGAAATAAAATTCAATTCATGAAGAAAACTCTAACTCTATTGAAACACATTTTTGAAGGAATTATTAATTGCTTAAGGTATGTATTGAAGTAGCTTTTTCTTTAAATGTATAAGGTACTAACCTCACATTGCTCCTTATTAATTTGTTCATAATTTGCTCAATTTCATTAACATATCAATTTATAACGTTCTTTGTATTTATAGTTTTTAATATTATGAAAACAGGTCATCAATATGATTAAATACTGAGCACTATGAAAATATGCAATACCTAACGTATGTTTTATTATTTTACAGATAAATAGGCTGTCATCATGAGTAGATTCTTTGCCACCGGTACCGATTCCGAGTCGGAGAGCTGCACTGATGAGGAACCAATCGTCCGCACTCAAGCACCAGTGTACACGGTTAGGAATTGCAATTAATTATCATGTACAGTTTGCTACCACGTTGAGTGTATCTACAGATACAGGTTGCCAATGGGCAAGTGCAGTGCTCGATATCTCAATCACTGCACCTTCTAGACCCAGTGTCAAAGATAGTACAATTTGACTAAATTTTAACAGAATTTCCAAATTTTTAAAGTATGTTTATTTTGCATTTCATATTCCAATTTTAAGAGACTATGATTTAGCATATCCTGTCTGTTTAGGTCTTTTAAGATGATAAAGTTGATTTTTGGTCTAGCTTCGAATATTTTTATATATTGGATGTTAAAACTTATATTTGATTGACAATCTTTGTTGATAATTTTTTTTATCACCTATAATTTAAAACACAACTACTACTTACTGTGGTACCAGCATACCTGTATTTGGTAACAGACTGTATTAGATATTGTAAGGTTGTTTAGTACCATTTTTCAAGATGTTCTGATGTTAGCCTTGTAGCTTCATTTTATAAAATATAAAATCTTTATTAATTTAAAATATCTTCTCAACTAATGTTAAAAATTAACACTCTTCAGAAGTATATGTACTTTTACAATTAGTAAATAGTCTCTTATTACAAAATGACAATGAGAGTACTATTTAAATACCAAAAATTCAAATAAAAGCTTTTCGTCAGATTAATTAAATGTTACTTTCACATAGCAAGTCATGTAAAATAATCTGTTGCTATAGGTGTATTGCTATCTTTATGGTCTCACATAATACAGCTATGGAAAAGGATTACTTAGTCAATTATACTCATTTTTATTAAGTACATTATTTCCATTTCACTTAAAATATAATATAATATGCTGGTGGTCACTATGTAGTGAAGACAAGAATGAATGAAAGATAGAAGAAGAAGAAGAAGAATGTTCTCAGTAATTTAATTGAATCATTTTGTAATCATGTACAAACTCATTTGAAAAGAATAATAGCTGAGTTTCATGACACTTCTTGTTAGCTCGAAAGCTATGTGGATTTATTTATTTAGGTATGACTTATAAGGGTCTGTAATAGACCTACATGAATAAAGATATTTATTATATATTTGATTACTTTTTTCATTTTCATTTCAAAATATATTTTGGAATACAGAAGTACTTTTTATATATTTTTTTTTACTCTAGCAAGAGCTGATGTTATGGGTAGATAACTAGTAGAAACACTATAGATTTTTGTAAAAACATACATAATGTAGGTACATAAAAAAAACAAGACCAATATCAATTATACTTTGTATTATAGACTCTATGATCACAGATAAACTGAAGAGCTGCATGGTAAATAAATCTTTTATGGGCCAGTGATTGGGTCCCGATCCTAACAAGTGATCCACTATAGCTGATTTACGCAGATTATTGTTTTTAACAGCTTTTATGTGTTCATTAATATGACGGGTTATTGTTCTATAGACTCTAATGCCTGGAATTCAGTGATTGGTTTAAACCAAAATATAAAACACGATCAGAAAGTGTATTAAGATGTGAAGTTACTGTGAGTATAGTTTGCCAAGATGAATATCAAGCAAGTTCCAATAGTAGCAACAAACGAAGATGTGTGAAGGTAGACAAATATGTCTGCCCATAAAAGATTTATTTACACTCTACCCACTGCTCTTCAGTTTACCCGTGATTATGGGGGTAGAAACACTGCCGAAATATCCGGAAAACATGGGAAGATCTACTACAATTATATGTATGAACAATTATACTTATGAATACAAATGCAAATATATGTATTCATAACAATTATACCTATGATTACAAATGTTTCCATTGTCAAACGGGGAAGAAGTAAAGCGGTGTGCTAAACTCCTGGACCACCAATATCGTCACCGCCACCATTAATCGAAAATATAAAAAAATATTGCTGTTTATAGACTAGTATTTATATTTAATAATAACCCACAATCCTTGAAAATATATTCCAGAAAAAGCACCTTGACATTCCTAATAAAGGCAGCCATGAAGGAAATAATACCTTTACTTATGTTGATCTTTAATGACATTAAAAACAAAAATGATACCATCTCAGTTCAAAGGATGACATGAAAACTATGCCTATAAGTTTGATGTCGAATCTGAAGTATTTGCAAAGATAATCTTAGACGCGTTGATGAAAACCAGCCTATAGAACAGGCATGACCACATCTACACTATAAAACAGCTAATAGAAAAATACAACGAATATAACAAACCTCTGTATATCGCTTTTATTGATTACAGAAAGGCATTTGATAGTCTGAAACATAGCTATATATGGAAAGCTCTACAACAACAAGGCATATACTACTCTTATATACAAATAATACTAATATATTCAGAAAGCAAAGCCAAAATAAAATTAGAAACCTTGGGTGGTTCATTCCCATCGCAGGGAGAAATCCCAAACTATTTTCAGCTGTGTTACGTAAATGAACTGGGAAGGCTTTGGACTCAATATTATTTGACTCACCTACGTTTTGAAGAATTGTACGAAGATAGTCCTATACACCTTGAAACTATGATTCAAAGTCTGTCAAACGAAAGCAAAACAGTGGGTCTGTCAATGAATACTGCAAAAACCAAGATCCTGACCAACTCAATGGAGATTGACGTTGGTTTGGGGTGGGTGCTTGGAATGTGGAAATATGTTTACCTGGGACAAGTGGTGTCTTTTAGAGATCAGACAGATAAAGAAATTAGCCAGTGGATGGAAGAGATAGTGGTCTCTGAGAGAGACAATGAAAAACAAGAACATACAACTGTCAACAAAAAGAAAGACATTTAATACTTGCATTCTGCCGTGTCTGACATACGGATGCGAAACATGGGCCTTCGGGAGAAATTGCAAAGATGTCAAAGAGCCATGAGGTATGTTAGGGATAAACAGAAAAGACAGACACAGATGTGAGGATATAAGAGAAAACTAACTTGACAGACATTCTTGTGCAGATAGACCAACAAAAATGGAGATGGACTGGGCACATGATTAGCAAACCTGAAAAATGGAGTACTTATGTAACTGAATGGTATCCAAGGGAAACAAAAAGAAAAAGAGGTAGAGACAGAGACGCTGGGAGGATGAAATCAAGCTGACAGCAGGCCCCTACTGGAGAAGAGCAGCCCAAAATAGAGTACACTGGAAGGAATTAGAGGAGGCCTTTGCCATAATTAAACATTAGAAAAAAAAAAATTAAACTACTTAACAAACAATAATAGTAAAAAATATATATAATAATAATAAATTTATAGTATAATATAGTAATATGAATGAACAGGAATATAAAAAAAAAAAAATGTATGTACAGAAATAAAGGCTTCTTTATCTTTATCTTTTAATAACAGGACTTGAAAATATATTAACTTATCTTGCTTCCTTCAACAGTTCAGTGACGATGAAGAAGAAACGAAGCGCGTTGTGCGCTCCATGAAAGAAAAGCGGTACGAGGAATTAGAAGGGATTATACACTCATTACGTAATCATCGCAAAATCAAAGATTTTACATCAGCATTAGGCTCTTTTGAAGAATTACAATATACAATATACTCGAGCTATAATTGCGCCTCGGTTCTTTATATTACGATTGGGTCGTGGGAGCATGGGGTGACCGTGATGGTAGGAAGGCTTTGTCAAAAGGCAATAGTAAAGCTCTTACGTCACTGAGACAAAAGTTAAGGAAATATGCCAAGGAATTTGATGCCGAAATTACTAAGTTCCGTGAAGATCCTGATCTACCCGATGACGATGACGAACGTAAAGGTAAGTTTATCTAATATTTTACCATACTATATACAATATATAAATATTAATTAGCTTGATATCTGTTATTAAAAATATTTCAGATTCCTCATCTTCTGACGAGTCGGATGATGATGATGACAAGGTTAAGGAGAAAGTTAGGCCTCGTCGATCGCCGGAAGTACAGCGACGTGCTCCACCACAAGATGACGAATCTTCTGATTCCATGGATTGGGGTTCAAGTTCTTCAGAATCCAGCTCTAGTTCTGACAATGAAGATCGTGGCGCTGCTACTATACGTGAACGTTTCCTCAAAAGAAATACAGAAAGAGATGAAGACGAAGAGCGTGATAGGCGAAGAGCGAAACGTCGTGAAGAGAGACAAGGTAGAGCTGGGAAAATTAGTAAGAAAGACCAAGCTGATGATGGTGGTGAATGGGAAACTGTTAGAAAGGGCGCCGCGACATCTGACAAACCCAAGATGTTTGCTAAAGTAAGGTTTATTTTTTATAATAACTACACTTTAAATTATGAAGAAATTGAAACTATTATATAATAATTGGTATTTATTTTCAGGATAGTGATATTGATGCAGCCCTCGTTGTGAAGAAATTAGGCGAAATTAGTGCAGCTCGTGGTCGCAAACGTACTGATCGTCGTGCCCAACTAGAATTGCTCCATGAACTCCGGACTGTGGCTCAACAACACAATCTTGGTGATGCTCTTCAATTGAAACTCCGTGCTGCCACAGTAGCTGCGCTATTTGACTACAACCCTAAGGTTTCCGATGCCATGAAACCAGAATACTGGTCTAAGCTTGTGGAAAATGTTGATCAGATGGTCACTTTACTTTTGAGTCATGAAGATATGCAGCTAAGTGAAACTATCACTGAAGAAAATGAACAGCTTGTCACCGCTCCGTATCTTGTGAGAGGTTGTCTATTAACGGCTTTGGAGCGTCTTGATGATGAATTCACCAAGTTGTTAAAGGAATGTGATCCTCACTCTAATGAATATGTAGAAAGACTTAAAGATGAAGTACGCGTATCTACTCTTATTGATCGAGTTTGTCAAGTGGTTGAACGAGATGGAACAAACCAGGAAATTTGCCGCGCCTACTTACGTAAAATCGATCATCTGTACTACAAGTTTGATCAACGGTCTGTGAAGAAGGATTTACCCCCAGGAGAAGAAACAACCATTAAGAAAATGGAACGTCTTTGCAAATATGTCTATGCTCATGATGAAACTGATAGATTGAGGACTCGCGCTATACTGTCCCATATTTACCATCATGCTCTGCATGATAATTGGTTCCAAGCTCGCGACCTTTTGCTAATGTCCCACCTTCAAGAAACTGTACAACATTCTGATCCAAGTACTCAAATATTGTATAATCGTACCATGGCCAACTTAGGTCTTTGCGCATTTCGCAGAGGCAATGTAAAGGAAGCTCATGGATGTCTTGCCGAGTTAATGATGACGGGAAAGCCTAAAGAATTACTTGCGCAAGGATTGCTACCGCAGCGTCAGCATGAACGCTCTAAAGAGCAGGAAAAAATTGAGAAACAACGTCAAATGCCGTTCCACATGCATATCAATCTGGAGTTACTTGAATGTGTGTACTTGGTGTCTGCGATGCTAATTGAAATACCGTATATGGCGGCTCATGAGTTTGATGCTCGACGCCGTATGATCAGTAAGACATTCTACCAAAATTTACGTGCTAGTGAGAGACAAGCACTGGTAGGCCCGCCGGAGTCTATGCGCGAACATGCTGTTGCAGCTGCTAGGGCAATGCGTCGTGGTGACTGGCGAGCATGCCTGAACTTCATTGTTAATGAGAAAATGAATGCCAAGGTAAACTGTTTCTATTAGTGAATTTACTTAAACTAAAATTTTTACATTGTTTGGACAAGCACTTCTCTAGCACACGTGCTGAAAATAAGTGTTTTTACGAGTTCTTATTTTATTTTAATGTCATTCGTCTGAATATGCTTCTAGTAGCATAAACTGATAGAAAAGAATATAACTGATTTTGAAGCTATTTAATTTTCTTCTTCAAAATTAAAAAATAAATAACACATTGAACAAATTTTACGTATGCGTTATAGAATATAAAAACGTAAGTCATAGAACACAATTTAAAAATTTTAACATAGAAACATAGAAAATTTTAATCATTCAATATTGATATTACAGGTATGGGACCTTATGGTTGGTGCGGATAACGTCCGCGCAATGCTGGGTCGATTGATTCGTGAGGAGTCGTTACGTACTTATCTGTTTACATACGCCCATGTGTATGCTTCTCTATCCCTCCGATCATTGGCCGATATGTTCGAGCTGCCGCGTCAACGTGTTCACTCCCTCGTATCAAAAATGATCATCAATGAGGAACTTTTGGCCTCGCTGGATGACCCAAGTGAATGCGCGATACTGCATCGTTCTGAACCGACGCGAATGCAAGCATTGGCACTTCAACTCGCTGATAAGGTAACTTAAGACAATTAAAAATCTATCATCAAAACTAAACCTTAAATGCATATTATTCTTAAGTATTTTGAGTTTAGTTTTTGCTGATATTGTATTTTACTTTATAAAACATGATTCGTCATTTATTTATGATGGCGCTTTTATTTATAATTGCCTACATGTCGCCGAGATAGGTAGGTTTTATACACACACTTTCTGTGTCTCCAACTGATCTATTTAAACTGTCAAGCACAAGTTACTACAAAATTTATTACAAAAAAGTTATATTTTTTCTAGGTTGGCAATTTAGTGGATTCTAATGAGCGGATATTCGAGAAGCAGGGATCATTCTTCCAGCGTGGAGGCGCTGGTCGAGGCGAGGGTCGACAGCGGGAGCGTCCAAGGGAGGGCTGGAACCGACGAACTCGCAATCGCCGTCGCGACGACGAACGTGGACATGACGATTAAAAATCCAAGTCCCGATTAAATTGTACCACACTGGAGTTTATATTCCTTATAAATAAGAATGAAATTATTCTTAGCTTAGGGTGCAATGAAAATCATAATTAATTCTCCTTTATATATTCAGAAACAATAGTTCTTTATCCAACAGCAACTTATAGTGACAACAGTTTAATATTTGTTTAAATAATTCCATATATGTAATGTACTTTATAGATATGAGATCTGGACTACAGTAACTAACCAAATCTTACATCTTGAAATGTACTAATTGCGGATGTTTTCTACTCAACAGATTGTTCAAATATTTGTTATTTTTAAATCGGTATAATAAATAAAACTTTGTCACAATCATTTTCGTGTTTTTATTGACATATTTGCGAAATTAATATGAAATATTTTAATCCTTAATATATTTGCTTTGCTTAACTGTTATACGGTGATTTTATCAATTATCACTGTATTATATCGTGTGCCGAATATAGAACATAGCCATAACCCCTCTCATTCCCCGACGATCAGCCTTGAACATATAACGAAACCTGCATTTTATTGGATAAGGAAACGAGCCTACCACTTTTCCAAGAATTAATTTTTTGTTTTGGTGTTTCCATCACCGGTATATAAATCACCACAGCCGTTTTTTGTGCTAGTAATATTGAACTCACAATGATGTTTCGTTCCTAGAGAAGTCGAAGTAGCAAACATGTGTTTAAGTATTTCAATCATTTGTTTAGTACGACCACAAATAATATAATATTGCATAGTATAACGTACAATGAATAGAAATATTTTTTTAATACATATAAATAAAATTGGAGTGACTGTTTGTGATATTGAAATAACCGTTTTTTACTACGTGCATATGAATATAAATTCCTAGCTCTAATAAAAATTACTAGCTCTGCCCGCGGTTTCACCCGCGTTAAATTTCAATATAAAATGTAGCCAATGTGGTATTCTGATGCATAAGTTATATTACTGTAAAGTTTCATCAAGATCCGTCCAGTAATTTTTGCGTGAAAGAGTAACAAACTTTCGCGTTCATAATGTTTTTAAGATTACATATATATATTAGTCTATAAGATTATTATTAAACTGTCCTGTTTAATATACATTATATTTTATGGCAAATAAAGTTACCTACCTCTCTCGACTTTTCGACTAGATTGCACTAGCCATGGTAATGAACTGACTGGAGTAACAGCGATATCAAAGTAGATAGGTGACAGCGGTCTTTTCATCTACCGGCACTAGATTGTTCAACGAAAGTTCGTGACACACAGCACTCACGGTATCCTTACACTTATTGATTGTTGATGCTACTGAACTAGGCTTGAATTAATTTGTGACTGGATTGGGGTGTTTTTTTATTTCAATCAACTCCCGTAGCATTCGTGGGTAATAGTGGCGATCAGTAGAGAGGACCTTGCGCTAAGGTCCTCTGTAGTTCAATCTAATGATTTGTTCCACTATTTAATTTCAATCGGCATTCGCAGTTTGTGTGATGTGCTTTTTGTCCTTTACAGCTGTCGATCATTTTGTTTGGCCAATTTGGCAGCTCTTATATTGACCAATAAAACTGTATCTTTATTTGCCATAAAATTATTCGTGTTAAGATATTTGATAATGTAATAAACCTATAATTGCAACTGTAATTTTAGCATTATTTTAGTAATTTAGCAAAATCACTTATTTTAATATGGTCACACTTTAATTTTATGGTGGTCATCGGTAGTCTCGATTTTCCAATTCATTAACATTAATTTATAGATTTTTCTTATAAATTTAAGTATTTTCCGATTGTTTAATATAATTATGGTGTTAGTGTTTACCATATAATTAATTTTAAAACGTTTTAATATCGCAATCGCAAATTTTTGTCAAATTTTCGTACAATGGCTGCAACAAGACGATTACAAAAGGTAAAACCTTACTTATTTCACTTTTCTGGCCTCAAAATATTAAATATTGATGATATTTTTTTATAGATGTTATATTTTATAGTATTTAAAATTATATCTCATTTAATCTTTCTTAATACAGTTAAATTTCGAATGAATGCAAACTGTATATTTTTATTTTCGGTGTCCTATATAATTTCACTAAATAATTATAATTTGCCCGATTAATTAGTATTTGTATTATTTAAAGAGCCTTAGTAAATAATTAGAAATGAGGTCTTAATAAATATATAACAAGAGACTAATATCTTATCAAAAATAGTGATGTCTTCAATGAATGCTTCATTTGTGATTCATCCACCAAATTACATTGCACAGCTTATTTTTGACTATGTCAGTTCTTAATTTGGGATTGGGAATTTGTGCATATATATTTCATGTGAAACATACATTACTTACATATTATCATGGTAATATTTTCTCTACCACCATTAATGTATTATATTGTATTTCAGGAATTAAATGATATTAGACAATCAGGATTAAAATCTTTTAGAGACATTCAAGTTGATGAGTCCAATCTTCTAACATGGCAAGGACTTATTGTTCCCGTAAGTCAAATATATTTTATTCTTACTAATATTGAATTACTTTTATTGAGCAGTTTTATTTCCTGTACTATGCAGAAAGGTTAAATCTGAAAATACACTTAGCAAGATTATTAAAAACAACAAATCATTCATTCAACTTCGTTATTTAAAATTTCATTGGGAATATAATAATGTTCATAATTTCTGAAATGAAATTATTCAATGATGTCATCTTAATTAATGATTTGATATTAACATTAACATAATAAAATTTTAATTTTTCTAGAAACACTATTTAGTTCTAACCTGTATTAATCTAATTAATTCTTTAAACACAGGATAATCCACCATACAATAAAGGTGCATTTCGCATTGAAATCAACTTTCCTGCAGAGTATCCATTCAAACCACCAAAAATTAGTTTCAAAACCAAGATCTATCATCCAAATATTGATGAAAAAGGCCAGGTATGCCTACCCATCATAAGTGCTGAGAATTGGAAACCTGCCACAAAGACTGATCAAGGTATTACATTACAAAATTTATAATTAATAAATTTACATGAGCCTGTATTTATGAATGTGTGAACAATAAGAATATATTTTAACTGTAAAAATGGAAACCATTTTTAGAATATTTTTACCAAACTGCCAGTTATGAACAATAATGAACATGCCATTAAAAAGGCCAGGGTGGTAGCTTACCAATTAGAGTTACACTGTGTGTATAATAAAATGCTAATAAAACCCAGAATAATCACTTAAGTTTTAGCTTTTGCTCGATGCAGTATAGTTATTGGACTAATGTGAATATATATAGATACCTAAATGTATTTTCTAATAAATTACAGTTATTCAAGCTTTAGTGGCTCTTGTCAATGATCCAGAGCCTGAACATCCTTTACGTGCAGATCTCGCTGAGGAATTCCTCAAGGACCGAAAGAAATTCACAAAGAATGCAGAGGAGTTTACTAAAAAGAACAGTGAAAAACGGCCTACTGATTAAATATCTATCAATTTCAAGAATCAATGTATATTCTGGATTTACAGCAACAGTTCACAATGTTGTAACAATTGCTTGCTAAGTGTCATTATAATATGAAATTTCACTCTTAAATGTTGCTGATTTAAAGATGTTTTGCATTTATATACCATTATATTGGGTAAGTTTCAAGTTTTTTTTCAGCATAGATAATGCAATATCTAGTTGATGTTCTAGTCTTCAATTAGAAACCTTGAACTATTGCTGAAACTTCAGTTCAATTCTCTTTATTACTGGTAACTGATTATATATTCAGTCATTATTCACTTGCTAATATATTATATTATTACACAGTCTAATGTACTCTTATCTACCATTTACCCAACAATCTTGTCTGGGTGGGGTAATCCTGGGATGTCATAAATTATTTATTTTTCGATATTGGTGTTGTTTTCTATTAATTTATATTTTATACATATGACTTAATGTTTCTGAAACTAGATGATAATAAACAATACACATATCGAGATAATAAAAAAACCCTTTATTTATTTTGATACATTTCTATGACACTTAAGTAACCTCTAAAGTTTTACAGTACTGAATTAGTAATTCTGGCAATGTTTTTTAACTATCATGAGGTAGTAGGTTCAGTAAATATTTCTTTTAAATAGAACTAATAAAACTACTAATGTTATAAAATGATATCAGCCAGACTACTACATACTATATACATTGCATACATATGATGCTTGTGGTATCCTTATAAACCTATGCACAAGTAAAAGTAATGATTACAACATATAATTAATATCGAGTTGGTGTAAATTATAATTGTGTGATAGCCCACTATTTATTTTGTGCTACTATACTAGTTTTTATATTATATTACAGCTGTGTATAGGTACATTAAATAAATTAATATTAAGTGAAGAACAATATTTTAAAATTACAATTCATAATTCATGTACTTATTACAAATATTTTTTATTTAAGTAAACATTTTTTTTAAATTTATCTATAATAATACCTATTGTATTATATTCGGTAGAAGTATTAAATATGGAATGCTCTCCTTAAAGTCTTTCAGCTGACTTCTTTTATTATTGGTTGTTATTTTCATATGTATGTAGTGATTGTGCTTTCAATGGCATGTTATAAGAATATATTTCGAAATATCTTACTATTTATCTGCAATAGAAATCAATAGTTTCCTGTACATTTACATACCTATAACATTCTGTATTAATTAATCTTGTGAAGCCTATTTGAATATAAGAAAAATACCCTTCTAGTTTACTCTTTAATAATTAGATTTTGTACAATTAATGATAATAATTTTTTGATAACTATTGAAATATAGAATGTTTCATAGTTCTTACTGCTGAAGATATTAGTCCTCCTTTGACAGGAATACATTACTGACATTGAAAAAATTGTGGAAATAAAGCGGTATTTCATGTTTAAAATATTAACACATTCGAGACAAGAAAACAAGAAATAAAACACGTGCAATATATGAATTATCTTTAATATTCTATTATTTTAGTCTACAAAATCGTAGACATCTTTAGACTGTGATACTTGGTTACTTTTAGTGAGTACTTCGTGCGTAACATCATCTTTCTCAGTATCAGTAGTACTCGTAGTATTAGATTCATTAATTATTCTATACTTTGGAATCAAATCTTTGGTTCCTTGTAATTTTTCAGTATCTGGTTTATTTGTTTTTCTTTTCAGTCTTGATCGGTCTATTGTGTTTTCTAAGTATTTCTTTAAATTGTCTGTAAGTAATTATATGTATCTAAGTATCCATATGTATATTATTACATAAAAGAGAATTCTTAAATTAAAACAAAAACGGGGAAGGTCTTACATTATGGCTTAACTGAAAATAAGTCTAGATATGCATTTATTTCAAGAGTAAGTATAAAATTATCTGCGTGATCTTTAGCAGTCTCACCAATTTTGTCGTAAACTAATTACAAATGATAGAAATGCATACTGAAACGAAAATCAGTCTGTTGCACTCTTTTTTAACGGCCTCACTTCGGATGGTCGTTGGTTCGATTACTTGCACGGTACAAACATTTGTATTCATGATTATGATTGTTTGTGTCGGTCTGGGTGTTTTCTATATAATATACATAGAAAACATATATATGTAATTACGAAAAAAAGAATCTGTATTTGTATCAGTTATCTAGTATCCATAACACAAGCTTAACTTGGGTCTAGGTGGCACTGGGTGAATTGTCCTGAGATTATTATTATTATTTTTAACATAATTAAGCATTATAAGCAGGGCTGCCCCCATAAGCGCAGTTAATTATATTATTTATGATCATATGATTAAAACAATATTTATCCATTCATACCTTTGATAGTATTGATGCAGGTTTCTACATAACTAGGTTTATTAATATCTCTAGCTAAAGTAGTTTCTACATGTAACATATAATCGGGTCCATATTTTGTCCAATTGCTATGTTCAGGAATATTATCATCTAATTTTACACCTGCGACTAGAGCTGTGATGGATGACCAAAGTCGTGCCGCGTTAGTGTAATTGTACCCTCCTTAAAATAAATGAGAACAAATTAAATTTATGACGAGCACACAGCGCTATCTATAATAATTTCAACTGCGCTTATATTATTACAGTTAAGCATTATTTTTATGTAAAGAAATATATGAAGAAACCTAATTACAGCGTATATTTTCTGTTTGTTATTACGTCATAATCTAAATGAATATGATCAGATAATACATAGGTTACAGTACAAAGTGTAATGAATCGTATTTGTTTTCATTTTTATATATTTTTGTTTCGGAATCGAATCTCTTGTAAGTTTTAATTTGTAATAATTTTCATTTTGTTATGGGCCATAATAGCACAACAACCTCCTCCGAGTAGGATCGTCGGCTTCCGTTTGTCAAGCACCATCTTGATGCAGGTGCAGTAAGCGCGCGCTGTGAGCGCGGCACCACCATTTGGATCTCTAGCCAACGCGTCCGCCCCGCATTGTACCACTATGGACTCGGGGCCAAACTGGGAGTATACAGCCGAAAACACTCTGTTGTGAAATAATTTAACAAGTAGTAGTAGTAAATCATAGTAATAGAAGTTTAGGAATCTCATTTGATTTTATCCGAACGGTCATGTATTTTACTCAAAAGAATTTAATTCATCACTTGTTATATAATCTAACATAATTTAAACTCTAGCATTAAATTCTGACAGAAGTTGGGCACAACTTAACTTAAAGTTAATAAATAACTGTAATACATACTCCTGGAAGGCATATTCCAAAGTATCATCGGAGTAAGAAGCATGCAGTGGGAAGTTGCATGTGTATCCCTGACCAGTCAATGAGCCTACATCATCAATGCTACCAGTACCTGGATAGAACCCAGGCTCATATTTATGGAATGATAGTGTAAATACTGATTTGCTTAGATTGTATGCATCCTGTACACCATTGCCTATGAATAAAAAAAAAAACAGGAATAAGTAAGACAAAAATATATTTTTACCTAATTTATTGGCATCTATATTTGCTAAATATATGAGTTATGGTGGTCACTTGAACCATGCTATACAACACTATCACATATTAATAAATAGTTATTGTACATTACCGTTCAAGTATTTAAGCACTATGGAGGGGTGGGGTCTTTGCTCATTTTGGATGACTTGTGGGGGTAGGGGAGTCTAGATGATCATTACGTCATCAGTAATTATTTACCCTCACATTGTCTTTGCTAAAAAAATGCATTAATTGAAAAATGTTCACGTAAGCATGGGGGGAGGAGGTAAGAGCTTTGCTTACTTTTGCTGACAAGGAGCATGGGGAGTAAATAATTGTAATAAATCTGCTTACGTAATACTTGAACGGCCCCTTATATTAACGAGTGCTCATGTATTGTGGGTATTCAGTGTTCATTGAAAGTGGTGTGCTGAAAATTAAACTCTAATAGATATGTAGATTTAAGTGGTGCCCATATATAATACATGAAATGACAAATCTCATTAACGTCACTAAATACAATGTGACATTTGTAACGATCATGTTAAACTTCTGTACCATGTAATTATCACACCTTCTATACTTAAAATCGTTTTGCTTATTCATCAAAGTTATTACTTTATACATGTATGCATTAGGGCCTTTCTGACGAAGTTTAATGTCGTCTCTGTAAATTAAAAGACAAGAAAGTCGCATAAGTATATACCTACCATGATGTATGTCCAAATCAATGTATAATATTTTAGAAAACTTTAATTTCAAAGTTTCAATTGCTAAGACAATATCATTGACATAGCAGAATCCTTCAGCACCAAACCTGCACAGAAATGATGAAACATATATTTAAGTAACACATGTAATATGATTATTTCCAGCTCATTTAATCCACAATTATCTCTGCTACACAATATGTACATCATCCAAATCTGAAGGAGGAAGATTAAGCACATTTTTGTCTTTTATCCTTATTCCTATATACATTTAGGTATTTATAATACACACTATAATTTATGTATTCTTTGGACTTGGTAGTTTATGAAAATATTTTTTAAATGAGACTAGTATTTATGGAGATTAGCATGCTCAAACATACAGGCAAGTTCAATCAAATGGTTTTCTAAATTATTTGATTGCATAATGTAATATTTTATAAACAATATCAATTGATACCTTTACACATTACCTCTGTGCATGATGCCATCCACCACACCAATTGATGGCTACATCAGCAATTCCTAGCAACAAACATTTAGCAGCTGTTATAGACCCGCCTGCCACCGCTGACACCAGATCATACATGTTAGAGACCGGAGCACAGTCATAACCTGTACATACAAGAAAATAGCTATAAATTAAAATATTTTTCTGATATTAGTGCTTACAGATAAATAAACAATGTGTATTCTAAATATATTAAATTTGGATCTTAAAATGTTGGAAATGTAATAGAATTGTAATATCTCTTCATGATTTTTTACAAAAATAAAATAAAGGAGAATAAAAATCTAGATTTAATATGAAGTTCAAATAACTATTTTACCAATGCCGTATTCTTCATCTTGTGATGTTGATATATAATCCTCATTTACCTCAGCAAACCTTTTCAAATGATCCAAATACAAGTCTGAATGAAACTTTCTAAGATCATCATAAGAAGCCGGTGAAGACTTCACTACATTAACATTTTTGTGGAGGCCATAAGCTACCAAGAGACTGTGAACTAAAGAAGCCTGTAAAGTAACATTCATTATAAATATGCAATTGCAGCAAAAAAATTGCTGCTTGATAAGATCAATTGTAAACTATATTCGTCAATTAAATTAATAGCTGTATTTTTTTAAATATTCATTTTTAATTTAATTGCTAATGTTTGAGCAAAATAATGTGGCTCAGTATAGTTCTATACTGGGGTTATAAAACAATTCATGATGCGACTTTGCTTTTTCTACTACTACGCTTGTGATTTTGAATAAATAATAATACATGTTTATATCGAATTCGGCATTCAGAACACCATTGTGTAAAATCATCAAAATCGGCATAGCATTGCCGACACACACTCTTTGGCGCCAAATGTAAACAAAATTACTAACCCGGCCTAAAACTGCTGGAAGTCGATCACATTGTTCAATTAAATTTTCATCCCATATGTAACAGCATTTTAGAGATTCCATATTATTGTAAACAAAACAAAATGTTTTTAAACTTCAGGATTAAATGTATAGAAAATATGGTATACTGAGTGTCTATAATTATTTATGGTAACAAATAACTATAAGTAACAGTAGTAACAAGTACCTACGATAGACCATTTTTGAATAGTTTGATAGTTCTTTTGGCACTTATCGGCACGCGGAGTATACCGAAAGTTTTCAGGATAAAAGTTTTCAAAGCCAAAGATAAAGGCATGGCATGTTTGTGTCGTGTTATTTATTTATGGCAATATTGTATTGTTGCATTAAACATGTGAATATGCAACTTTTATAAAATTTGTAAAAATAATGTTTAAAACTAATTTTACATTAAAGTTGACAAAAATATATAATTATATAATAGAATTAGTAATATTATCTCGACAATTAAAAAATAAGAATATAATATAAATAATGTTGTAAAGTTTAATAGGCACAGATTAATTTTCTTAGTGTTAGTTAACCAGTTGCTGTTACTGCTAAAAAAATTAAAATAAATTGCTATAGATCTGAAGTGCGACTAGTCTCGCTCAGATTATTATTGATAATTTTTAGTTTTGTTAATTACAATTATACGTTTCTATTAATTTTATCATCATGGATAATGCATTACATAGGATTTACTGAAACCGTAATGGTTATTTACTGCTGTTCCTTTAATTTTAGCTTAGTGTGAACCTTCCAATTACCATTGTAATCACATAATCGAATATTAGTAATCGATTATGTACGTCACTACTGGCAAGCGTAAGCGTCCATTTTATGTCATTAATCATGACATTTACGAATATAATAACTGAATTTGATTTTTCCTGTTTTTAACTTTATTATCAATGTATTATTATAGCCAGTTTTTGATTTTTTTCTTTTAAGAAATGTAAGGAACTAAATATGTTGATTTCCTGACAAGAAGGCACCATATCACATGATATTTGCTGCGATCCTAATATGACAAGGTCTATTACCAAACATAAGTAATTCGAGCCTCGTTGTTTGTCTTATTTTGTTTAACTTCAATGGTGTTCCATCGTAATCTTTGTCTAGTGAATATCAAGTTCAAGTTGAAATGGTTCGAGGTTAGTATAACATAAACTTGCTTCATAATGGTCGTTTTTTAACCATGTTCGCGGTACCTACCCTCTTCTATGAACCTGTGAATACATAAATATTTCAATAATAATTAATAGGAACATGTTTCAGTCGATATCGATTGTATTCATAGATATTATATGAGTTAAAATAACTAAAAATCATAGTTCCTTTTAAAAATTTTAACCAACATTGTAAATGCGAAATTTTGTAACTCACACTTAAAAGGTAATAAGCTTTATTCATAGTTACATTATGCATTAAAGTTATCCTTGGATTGCAACTAAACTAGAGATATCGTGCAGTTTAAGGGTGCTACATGTGGAAAGAATATGCCTAATCTGCTATTATTGGAAATCATAAAAAATAGTCAATCAATTATTAATAAGCATGTTGAAAAATTGGCAGCAGTACACAATTAAATAAATTGACATACAAAAGTAGACTTATAGTAAAATTTCATTGTAATTTGTTTTGTCACACCATATTTATTATATATATATAGAAAATCTTATAACTTATTAATTGTAGGATAGAAATATCTTTAATACTTATTATTGTGGTATAATTTTTCTGTGAACTGATAGTTGAAGGTTTCATACAGTAAACTACTTCTGGTTTCAGCCAATAGCTTGATGGCAGGACAAGAGGGTGTGAAAACTCCGCACCGCATTGAACTGTGTGAGGAGCGACCTGTCAGGCCTACGCGTAACTATAGAAAGCGCAGGTAATATTATATCAACTGCATGAACTCGAAGTATTCACACACATCAAGTACATGTAATTAATTTTTGCTATAATTTACACATCAGAATGCATCTATCTTCATGGCAGATTCTTAATAGAATCATTTTAGAGAAAATCATATTATGAATGGTGTCTCTACTTTGTGGTTTTCTTAATACACAATTTTATATGGTGTTCAATACATAAATAGCTTCATACAAGCAAGCAAGCGACTTCGGGTTCTGGTAGGAATACTTGTATATAATGTAAAATAGCAAGCTAATGTAATGTTTTGAAATGATACATCTTATAAAATATGTAATCTTTTTAAACAACAAATACCAGGGTCATAACATACCTTTTTGTATGATAATTGTCCATGATGCTATGCTATTGTTAGGAGGAATATATTTTGACTCATAGAAATAAGCTAATTAATTAGAAAATGTCCTAACAACAACAAGAACCTATAGGTCTTGTTGTTGTTAAGACATTTTCTAAGTGTTTGTTATTTAGAAAGTATTTTAATGCAAATACAAAATATGGTATTCCAATTTTGTAATATTAAGTAATATATAATTACTTACTACTAAATTAAGAAAATTAGTTCAAAATTTTATATTTGTTAAGTTTCTAGATTATTATATGTTTATAGTAATTTATGCAGAAAGATTTACATCTGTTTTGATGTTTCATATCCAGAGTAATTTCATTAATTACTTCAGGTAATTTTAATTGCAGCAATCATTATTATTTAGAAGTAAGATATAATATTATATGTTATCATAATTGTATTTTTAGAATAATCTGTATTCAACATAGAGGATAATACAGATATTTTTATTACATTATACTTAATTGAAGGGAAAGAAAAGTATAAAAGAAAATATAGACAAATGGAAATATTTAGACATCATCATTATAATTTACCCCTACTTTTTGAAAGAAAGTTATAAATAATATCATGATATTCTGCTGTGGAGTTAGTTTTTTTTATCTTTAATTTTATTTACATATAAGAATACACTGAACAAAAAATGTGGCTACTCTCTGAATTTCATTTAATTTCATATTAAGTAGATATGATGAGAGGGTCACAAATATTATCAGTATAGCAATTTATTTTTAGGATAAATGTAACATCACCAAAGACTGAAAACGTTAAAGTAAAGGAAGAAACTTTAAAGAAGGTTGACTTAAAATCAAAGCCATTGAAAACCAGTAACGGAATCACAAACATGACAAATGGACAATCGGTGCGTTCTAGGGCGGCCCGCGCGGCCGCCCGCGCTGCGGAAAGTCATAAGCTTACTGAGTATTTTAAGGAAGAGCTCAAAAGTCCCAAAGCGGAACCTCCTCATTCCCCCCCACCCATTGAGAAGACTGTCAAAACAGATAAAGTTGCAAATGGAAATACTAATCACAAGTTGACAGACTACTTTCCAGTAAGACGTAGTGTAAGGAAAACTTCAAAATGCGTTATGGCTGAGAAAATGAGGGATCTGGAAAGGGCTGTGAGAGAACAGAGAGAAGATGGTTTACAAGTATGTATACTATGGTTTTATTATATTTAACAATTATATTGTAGAGTAATTAAAGTCAATGGGGTGGTTAAATCCTAACATTTATGTCAGGATTTAAATACTTTGAAATTTATTTTATTTAAGAATATAATCCTAAAATTAAATATTGTGTTGAATTATAATCAAGCAGCATTTATCCTACTTTATACAAATTACAGGTTTTAGGAACACAATTATCTAGAACGATTTTCAAGTATTTCAAAGATACTGTAATAATAAATTTTGCCATTAATTTGTTCTAGAAACAATTTATTCTGAAAATTGGTTTCAATGGTTTATTAAAATATAAAGACATTTAAACAATAACTAGGTGGCGTATTTCGAAGACAAGGGCCGCGGTGTGATCGCAACTCGCCCATTCGGCCGTGGACAATTCGTGGTGGAGTATGCCGGGGAGCTGGTTGGCGTGGCGGAGGCGCGCGAGCGTGAATATCTGTATGCACAAGACCCAAACGCTGGTTGTTATATGTACTACTTTAGGCACGGAGATCAACAGTATTGGTGAGTTCACGTCGTATATATATTATGCTGGTATAATACTAGAGTAGCAAAGAAGTTGATAAATGTATAAGGGTACAAAGATTTACATTAATAGGGGTAAACAGAATTATTATTTCTTGTGACGTAATGGTGAAGTAATACTTGGCATGCACATTTCCTTGGATATATTATTATTTGCTGATCCTAAAATAAAATTGATTTGCTGTCAGTGTTTATGGCAAAGCCTTTGAAATATGCCAGATTCGAATTCATTACCTTTAACGTTTAAGTCAGTATAATAAACAAATTATAAATCTTTTTTTTTATTATATATGTATTTTGTAGGATGTTTTTGTTTTTTAAAGTATGCATTAGGATATTGTATTCATCCACCATTGTCACAGCGTTAGGTTGACTGGAAGGGATCTCTTTCAGAGATTAACCCACCAGATGAAAGTAAAAAAGTTCTTTATTTTCTTATTTCTTTCCAGTATTGACGCCACAGCAGAAACAGGCCGACTGGGGCGTCTCGTCAACCATTCTCGTAATGGGAACCTCCTAACTAAAGCTGTTTGGGTGGACGGACCTCGGCTCGTGTTACTGGCCGCACATGACATCGTCCCCGGTGAAGAGCTCACCTACGACTATGGTGACCGCTCTAAAGAGTCGCTACAGCATCACCCATGGCTTGCGCTCTGACGTGGGTTAGTGTTCTTAAATTTATATGAAATCTTAGAAGTATGGTGCTGTTAATGTATTACCTAATGTGTTTACATATTTGTCGTAAATACAGGCTGGTACAAAAATTAATCACTACAATTCACTATACATATTGTGTTATAATTGATTCTGTTGTACTGTTTTTAGTGTTCATATTAGTTTTTTTTTTTGAGAACATACACACGTTCGATCGTAACATAAAAAAAACACTACGTCAATATTCTATATTGTTTCAGGTACGCCTACAAAAATCTCAATTGGACTTATAATAATTATTTATTAATTTAGTTTTAGTTACTATGAAGTTTGTTAGACATTATTTTTGTTTGAGGTTGGAACTTTATTGTGTACTGTTAAGTAGTGAGACATGTGGCCTAACAATATGATATGTGAACAGGGTGGATGGTTCATTCAATGATAATACTGCCTTACGCCACTTATAATGGATGAAAGTTGTTGGACGAATTAAAATTAAGGATATAGAAAAAATATTCTAGTACAGTCACATACTATATTAGTCTTTTTCATTGTCACATCTATAAAAAAGAATTTAAATTAGCATAATACATCTTTTTCATGTGACTGTACATACATTACTCACCAAAGCAGTTCTATACTATATATTTTACATTTAATTATAATAGATCATTCTGAGCAAGTATTATTAAATAAATAATATTAACTGTCTTGGTGGGTCATGTTTCTCAAAGCTTGGTATACGAATGTACAAAGTTGTAATTTGATTTATACAATGTGATTTCATGGACATTGTATTAATGAATATATTATTAATACAATGTCAATGAAATCACATCCATACATTATATCTATTGTCACTGTTGAATAACAAAGTAATGATAAATTGGTATCATTGTATATAATTGTTAAATCAAATTATTACTTGTTGAAACCAAAGCCATGAAGTGAATCGATTGCTATTACAACATTGTTAGTTTTAATGAATGTATTGAGAAAAGACAACTGATTATGTTATCAGAATGTTATGAAATATAGAATGAAAAATGTAGGTAATTACGCTTGATGTAATATTAATACAAAGCCACTAAACCTAAAGGCTAAGTCAAAGACGCTAATCATATGGTACAAAGAATGTACAACCATAAGGAAGTACGACCATCTACGCAATTAAAACACTGGTTGAAATTAAATTCTCGATACATTTAAAAGTAAATAAAACACCCGTTTTTCAATTTGCAGGAAGTGAGATTTTATTTTATAATAAACTTATGGGTAATCTATTTGGGATTGTAAAGTTAACAAAAATATGTAACAATAGCCTTTAGATAAATCCTGGTCAAGACATCAACTCGAATAATTTTTATTTATCATTTATAATATAATTTAGTTTAAGTTAGTAAATTTGAAAGACGCGAGGTTGTAACAGTTGCTCATCGTGTTAACAACATGATAGTTATGTATTTTATTTTATAATTTTAAAACTAAATGTAATATCAGAATGTTACTAGAAAAAGATGAAGTTAGAAGTCTTATGAACAACTACTTATGCTCGTGTCACGTGTAGAAGTATCAAAATAAAATTACTAGTAAATTGCCCACCGAAATTAGATTGAATCAGTTATAATATTCATGTATTCATCAAATCTCTTGTATATCATATGTTTATTAAAATGCAGAATGCAGGGCATCACTTTTTTTCATAAAAATAAAAAAATGGTGGGCATACATACTACATATTAGTATAAAAAGTCATCAAAATTAATACGTCCAATATTTTTTTTATGGATTATGCTGATTGAATTAGTTGTGGAGCCCTGGCATATTTATTTGAAATGAGTCCACTGTGACTTGTATTAGTGGCTATAAGCGTATGTGTGATAGAATGCATCCTTGGAAGGACTGTTAACGATTGTAGTGTGTTCATGACCTTTTGTAACTTTAATCTAATTGCTAATAAGACATGGAATTCCATTATCTAGAGTTTAGCACAATATTATCATTATATGCAGAGATTTTATTGAATATCTATTGGACTGTATAACAACTATTGCACATCTTTAAAGATACATTTAAAGACATGTTTATTCTGCCAAATATATTATTAAATTTATAGAGTTAATATAATGTTACTTTTGTTTTCTGAATTTAAATAATAAATGTTGATATGGTACAAATATGCATATGTTCGAGTATACTTATTCTCGTTGCTTCATACATAGTTCGTTATAAGTAGGTCGGGTACACACTACAAAATAAGTTTGATACATGTCAAAGTAGAGTGAATTTTTATTGTTAAGAACATTTTTGTATGTTAGTATAATATATTGTAAGCTAATGCAGCTGGTGGGATTAGCCGTGTTCACCAAAAGAGTAATTATTAAATAAAATCGACGTTATAAGTTAATTTATTATTGATGAAGGTGTCAGTCTTCATTTATTTTTATTTTAAAATATAAAATAACGATACCATTTAAAAAATTGAATTTGAATAAAAATAAAAAGAGTAAATATTATATTGTATTATTAGACAAGAATTACTATTTAATTAACCATAGATATATAAAGTTCAAAATTGTTTTAGTGATAAATTCTATTGTGTAATAAATATCTCAGCAAATAAAATAATTGAATGACTGACGACCATCTAGTGTGTAATATTCATAATGTACTTGTACCGATCGTGCACTTGATTTTTAAATTTCTACTTAATGTAGTTTAATGAAGCTGGATTCAATGATTTTCGAAATGTGTACATATATTATAATTTAGTTAAATTACAAAATGTTGACGTAAAATTAGCTTTGATTTCATTAATCTTGTTTATCTTTGGAAAACATCTGATAATGTTCTTTGGAAATCTCTAATAATGTTTATGTTTAACGGGATAAACCCGTTAAACATAAACATTATTGGAGCTATTACAATTAAACTTGTTAGAGTGGTGGTCTATACTGATATGGATACTGGATGCTGGTGGGGCCAGTGATGTGTGACGACAGAAATAACGTCGTTTAGCCATAATAACGAATTCTTTAATGAATATTAACCACGATGTTTATAAGGAGTATGGTGCTGAGGTCGATCTGACATTCTCTCACCTCTTTTGGCTAGCTATGTGACACCAATGTAACTGTAATTATAATAAAGTTCAATATGCTTTTTTAATAGATATCTATCACTGAATCCAGCTATGTTATTTCGCTAAGTATATAGTATTGCTTATGTAGTTCCTATTCCCGTAATATTACTTATAGTGTATTTTAATATAAAACTCCTCGCTATTTCTTAACCTTCCTAACTAAATGCATAATAGTTAATATGTCAACGCATGTATTGTTTCATGTCTGTTTGAGTGAATCTGTAACATGTCATGAATATATCTATGACATGCTTAGTACAAAACATACCTTACCCATATGCCCAATACTATGCACGTCATAGTTTGAATTATATTCAATGTATTTCTATGGGATATGTTTGCATTTTCTTTGAATATAATTAATAATGATTGAGGTTTTATGTTAGTTTATAATTTCTGTAATGTTATATTGTTATCAATAATTATAGAATAGTGAAATTGAAGTTTGGATAAAGGGCGTCTCAACCGTGAAGTAAATGACTTGCTGAAGAATATCCGAAATGTGTCAATGTAACATAAATACATGACAAATGATATTTTCACTTTGTGACATGTAAATAATCTATGAATAGCGATAACATTCAAATTGAAAGATATTTAGATACTAAATAACCAGTTTCTTTGATTATTCAAGTGCTTAATACCATAGAGTGAAATATATATTTTTTCTATGATTATACGAAGTAAGCGATTATTCGCGACCAACACAGACCGTTGTTTGACCGCGACTAATCATCTGTTTCTTTTTAGAATAGAATAGTAATAATCTTTTTTGAAATATTAATATATGCACTTTTGATAAGTAATGTTTTTAGATTCCGTCGTTACATTCACAAGTTAAATTAGTATGGGCAATTAACTGTTGATACTCTCTTAAAAAAGTATTATGTAGTAAACAATTTTAGCAGACTTAGAAATAAAATATAAGAATTCACATTAACTATTTTATTCATATTCAGGTATTTCTTCATTTTATGGGCTGTTATTTAAAAAAAGACATGCTATGATGGACACTGAATATTTCCATAGAATTGTTTACTAAAAATACTATAAAAAATAAAAATAGAGCATAAGATCACCTTAAAAGAAATCAAATGTGCCTATTTCTATGAAATAATGACAAAATAGAGCTCTTGAAGCTTAACAGATGAATTGAATTGAATGCTTAACAGATAATAAATATGTTTTTTATACTAAGATAACCCTATTTATTACATTTACTATAAACTGTTTGTTGTCGGGTTACTTAACCAATGTGAATGAATGAAATGTTTTATAGAGACTGCAATTTCCATATACAATATATACCTATATCGCACGCCTTGTACAATACTAAATATATTTAAAAATTGCAATTTTTGATATTAGACTTTGAAGTTAAAGCTTTAGAGTAGATTTTCAAAAGTTTTTTTTTTAGGTAATCCAGTAATGTACTGGGTGTGCGATATGTAGTTCAATAAAAACTTTCCATAAAATAATATTAAATGTTATTGTACATGAGAATTGTTAAAAAGAATAGTGTAATTAGATATCCGTTTCAATTCTGTTAATCATGATTTTTATGTGAATTTTAATTGAAATTGATTTTTTACTGTATATAGTACAGAACAATATTTTTTTATAGCCAGCTTGTCTTTATATTGTAAAATATCAATATGTCGCAATCGAAATATTAGTAATACAGCATTTTAATGGCTATTTTTTTACATAGCGATGTTATGAGACTTAATAAAATTTATTTAATAATGGCGGGCTGCCATGCACTGCCCTAAATAATAAATAAAGTAGAATTAAAATTGAGTGAAATATAATCAATGAAATTTGATACTTTTGTTTTATTTCTCTATGTTTAATATAAAATATATTACCTAATATATACTTTAATGTGGCATAATTATTATTTAAAGTGCAGATACATTTCAACATGTAGCATACTAAGAAGTTAATTAGCTAACTGCTAGAACACTAATCCTGGACAATTCACACTGCGCCATATAGTCCCAAGCTAAGCAGAGCTTCTGCTATGGATATTAGACAATTCATTTAACAACTTACATTGTATTGTAAATGCATGGATAATATACATAGACAATACTCAGGCCAATACACAAGCATACTCATCAATATAAATTATTACATTGTACGAGAAATTGAAACCCGCGACTGGTGAAACAAATACAATAAGTAATAATTTACAATGAATACTATGAAAACTGCTCTAAAGATTTAGATACAATTAAACTTATTTTAACTAGACTACATAAAAAGATTATAAATCTTGTAAACTATATATAAGTACTGCTAGCACCCCGCTAGCAGTATTTAATGCTATTCCAAATTAGAATTTAGGTCAGATAGACGAACGATCAAACCCACGTACCATACTTTATTACCTTTTTGGTCGGAACTCAGAATGCAAACCTATATTCTTAACGAAGCATTTTTAGTGGAGATAAAATCGAATCGGCACATTGGTCTAATGTGAAATCGGCCTTGATTTCACTGCGCCGATTTAAGAAACAATCCAGGGATATAGTTCTTGATTTTTCGTGTGTAGATCGTTGTCAAGTAATTAATAAAATACGTCAATCACAAATATCAAATCTTTACTCAGTTAGCTATTACATTTATAAATACTGTGCCTAATTCTAGGGATTAAATGCATGATCTCAATATCCATAGAAACGTTTAAGCAACGGTAACATTATGATGCATTTTTAGATAATAAAGCTGGGCTTGAGATTCCAATTCTTGCAGTGAACGCACAACTGGAGCCATTTGAGTAACATGGTCCTGAAAAGAAAATTATTAACATTTAATTCTCAAGTTAGTCGTAGGTTTGTTACAAAAACACAAACAAGACAGACAAGTGCAAGTGTTCAATTTTAAAGTCGTAAATGAAATTAAAGCAATTGAAACACATGAACTATGTTGTAACGAAGAAATAATGTTTACCGCTTTTCTTTTGGAAAGAGCACAACATGGCGCAAGAGAAGGAAAATTTGTAATAAAACCCTGTACCAAGCTATATGGATAGCGATACTAATGTGGTTAATAAATGTGACTAGTGGCTTAGTAAATATTTCGTACTTGCTGTTAACCACTTTGGCTACAGCATAGCCTATGTCTAGCCTGTCCTAGCAGGCTAGATTGTACTGCAGTACAAATCTAACTTTAAGACAAATTTAATTAATATCAGTTCAGAGTGTTCAGACATTTAGTCTTAGAAAAGTAACAAAACATATATGTATTTGGAGTTATTGCTATCACAATTTATAGAAATAATCCTTATCTAAAAAAATCCATACAAGCATTTTGAATAACCATATTTTTTTATTCTAACCCTTATTCGGAACACAGATTCATCAGAAGTAGAACAAGCAAGATAATTGTGTATTCTATTTTGGATAAATTTAGGGACATACCTGATATCCAGTGCCAATTTGTTTCCTCTTCTGACCGTAAACAACCTTACCATCAAATTCATTGCTTGGTACTTTCAAATTGGTTTCCACCTGTTGGATGGTGATATTCAAGTGCTCCTCAATGTCCGCTAAATACTGTCAAAAGCATTATTATACATTAGTACATACAATGTAGTATAGCTTTTATAATGATAATACCCCTGGATAATACACACACAATATCATCTAGTCCCTAGGAAAGAAGACCTTGGGTTATGGTTACTAGACAACTGTGGGCTAATTATGTAACACAATATGAAATTGTTTCTGTTGAAGTTGTGATGCAATATAAAATCATTTCAATTTAAAAAATGCGATCAAGTAAGGTCGAATGACCGCAACATAAATAATTTCTATCGATAAAACACTACTATGAAGTTGCAGCGGAATATTGTTAATCCGACCAATTTAAAAAGTCAGTACATTAGATAGCTTATACCTTTAGATGTATCCCATTTTAAATTATTGGGTTAATACACTAGTTGGTTGATTTGAAACAATTTTTATTGCGTTCAAAAATTACAAAATATACTGCAGCGTTCACTTGTTCTTTTATTTTAATTTTATTAATAGACATTTAATAAAATAAAATAAAGTCTATTCTATTCTAATGAAAAAATAAGGTTAATAATTTTGAATATAAAAGCATATTTTATACAAACTATTTATAATCTTTAATAATATTAATCTAACCTACAAATTAAATTTTCTTTTCTGCTATAGATACCTAGGTAAGTACGTAGGTATCCATATAAATTTAAAATGATATGGGCACATCTTTTTAAATTTGTACATAATTGTAAAAACTTTAAACAAATAAATTTATTTACTTTAAACAAATCACAGAGCATCATAAACGTTGTATTCCGTTCACAGAGCACCGTATTCATTGAAATAGTTTTTTAATTATATTAATATCATAATCAACCCTAATTTTATATTAAACGCTTACTCTAGTTAATACAACATTTTTTATTCTATGCGATTTGGGACGACAATAAAATATCGAATTGGCAACACTGATGTCATGTTGTGAGTCGTGACAATTTTCCCATTTTATTAAATTTAAAACCTTTTCACAACTTTCTACGTAATATTTAATATAATAAAAATATATGTAATACTGAAAATTACCAAAACAAGATAAATAATGCTGCTAATGCTGATATTTTAAAGATTGTAACCAAAAGAAACACCTTCTAAATTGTTTCTCATAATGTAAAAACCGTTTCAATTCCACGCTGTCATTTCGGCAAAATAGCGATTACGTGACGTTGCAACGAGGTTACTAAATCGACATTCGATAGAAATAGTTTTTATCGATATGTAAAGTGCGTTTACGTTGCTATGCTAGTTGACAGCGTCAAATGGCGCAAATATAATCGCATTATTGACAGATGACGTCATTTGCACTACGTTACATACGAAAATCATTGCGAACGAAGTTAGATAATTAGCCCACTGATATAAATACTATGATATTTTTTTATTAATAGTATAATTAGATAGTACCCGGACTGATATGACTTACAAATAATTATACTCATGAATTTATGAGGAATAGAATCCGCGTGTTAAACCGCTAGACCACCGAGATTCGCATTTCTCAGGATGGAGGAGGGGTATATACTCCGTAGGAGACCAGAGGGCAATGAAGCTATTTTCCAAGAATTGACGATTTCGTTAGTAAAACTGCTCCGGTGTTTTTCAAAGTAAAAGTTTTCGGGCTTAGTCCATTATAGTTTAATAATCAATAAATAACATTGGATTCAGTATTATCAAGCGGTAAGTATATGCCGAATGTTAATTCGCCTACCTGCATCTCATTGTACCACATACAGCAACCCTTGGGTCTGTCGTCAATTAAATTAGTATTCCAGCAGCTACGACCTCGCGATGAACACCATTCACCGTGGTACCACACCTTTACGAATAAAATCACAAAACAATGTCACAATTTTTTTTATTAACATCACATATATTGAATTAATATCTGCTGTATAAAAATATATTTATAAAAAAATGTTTCTCAAAAGATTCTATATATTCTCAATAAAGTCAATAGTCTCAATGAGTACAATTAATTTTATGCACATTGTTGTGATATCTGCAACAATTCATATCAGTCTCTTTTATGCTTTTGTATCGAAAAAACGTACATTAATATTGTTTACTTGTTTTACTTGAATAAGATTTCAAAGATCATGGAAATGATTAAAAGCTCTTATTTGTTTCGTCGTCATACCAGCCTATCGATTTTTAAACATGAGCAATTCTCAACAACAATGTCTTATTTTTTTATTAAATAATTACCATACAAGTTTTAAAATATATTTAAATATATTAAATTTAAATAAAACATATTTACCTTCTCTGGTACATTAGATACGAGACTAATAGCAAGACCCATACGTTCCGCGCGGCCGACGCGGCCGATCCTATGTACGTAGTTTGACTTCTCATCAGGCAGAGTTACATTGATCACTACAAACGTACAAATGTTTATTGTTAAAAAGAATTGGGAATAGTAATAATGCAATGGAACAAATTAACTCACACACACAAGTTCAGCCTTTTAATTGTGAAATAATAACCAACAGACAGATGGGTGAGAGGGAATTCTTTTAATAGAAACTTACTCCCCGTCCCCCTGTAAAGTACAGTAGTTAACTACTAGTGAATATCGTTATGACAGGCTAACTGATTTGACTTCATGGCCATCCTTTCATTCTACTCTAGTGCCTTGTCAGCGTATACCGTTAGCCCAGCCGTGTGAACTATTATATTATCACTATTAAAAAAAATGCATTTATGGCACATTTCATAACCCGCAACTTCTTGTTCTTTTTTGAGATAAGTCTATATTTTATCGAATTAGATGTTATTGTATGGATATATACAGTGCGACTGAACTAGCCGTAGTCTAGTCGGTGAATAGTCAACACTCAGCTTCCAAACTATAACCAAGCTCTATTTATTGCTGATGATGTCTCGTTTAGAGGCGAAACACATGTCGCAACATGGCTTTAGATCCGGTAATTGTGGTATTTGAATTAGAAAAAGTCTATGACCGTACTTGTGATACAATGTATCGTCACGTCAAATTTCATTGAGAATCTTTGAACTGTTTCATTGCGAATGGATAACAAACATATTAATAAAGTTGTATATTAAAAACAACTTACTGAAAGGCAAACCAGAAATATCGATGCCCCTAGCAGCGACGTCCGTACAGATAAGATACTTCACTTGGGACTGCTTGAATTTTTCAAGGTTTGCCTTGCGCTCGGCCGGTTTGCGGTCTCCATGCAGACACACGCACGAAAATTCGTTACCATACGATTTCAAGTACCGCTCCATATTGTCACAGTCTAGTTTAGTGCGGCAGAAAATAATGGCTCTGTAAATATAAATAATAAACAATAAGTATATATTTGAATCACAAATGTTAATCCCTTATAGATAGTTGCGTACAAATAGAAATAGAAATAATCTTTACTTTATTCAAATAAGCACTTTTAAATAGTCATATATTGTTTTTGTATTTAAAATCTTGTGTATAGAAGGGATTAGGAGATATGGATTATCAGTAAGGTCACCGAGACCATTGATGCTAGTTGGGCAAAATATATAGTATAATATGTATATATATAGCATAAACTACACATGGACACCACTAGAAAATAACTCGTCTTGGTATATAATACCACAAATATTTTAAAATATTAGGACTAATTTACCCTAATTACGAAAATAGATTTTGTACAATGATGTCTGCTGCGTACCTTTAACTCACCTGTTGCTATTAAGTTTGCTTTGTAAACTTATCAGTTTGGATGAAGAGGCACTAAAAGTATCACAAATTATATCTATACACCTGGTCATATACATATGAATGTATTTAGGTAAAGGTGGTTGTCCATTACGCACTATGATGTTTTTATAATATTTTTAACCCTCTCTGGTGATAGTAGATGAAGTTTTAAACTAAGCCCTCTTCGCTCCTTGCCTCCCCTTCAATTACGTTTATTTGTTATACGAAATCATCCTAAATATTTTCAAATCCTTCAAATGCGTGTATAATCAAATTTACTTATGAAAAATAACCACCATTACAAAAGAAATAACTAGACCGACATTAGGGTGTGGGTTTTTTCTGAACAAATAGATAATCATCTAGCATGTACTGTACTTTGTTGAAGATCAGTAACAAAAATATAAAGATGTTTAGTTTCTCATTGCACCCCTCTACTCTTGTGATAAATTACCTGTCCATTTTGTGTTCCTTGATGGCTCGAAGGCAGTACTCTCCCTTCAATATTTTCACCGCTTCAGATAATGTTTCCGGCGTCGTGTTACCACTGCGGATATTATCGTTTGAGTGCACACCGTCAGTTTGCACGTGCCTAATACAGATTAAATGGTATGTTACTTAGTTACTGTACGTTATTTATTTTATGGACATATGGATTGATTTGAATTAATGTAGTTTATTAAGTCCTTCATTTCAATACTATTTGCAAGCTAAATTTCATAACAATTGAGAAAGAGGTAAAACAACAAACAAAAGACACAAGTGTGATGTCTTATGCAATATACACATCTTGACAAATGCTTTGCTGTCAAATGGCCAGTGGACTAGCAGTGATAATGACAGTTTATGTTCGACCTCATTGTAAAATCTATCGTCACGCAAAATTAACAAAAGTAACAATCAGACATATAAATTTTGTGATCAGACATATAAAAATCAGTATGTAGATGTATAAAAAAAACTGGATATTTTTAACCATGAACTTACTTTCGCAGGGTCTCCCAGAGGCGATCCTTCTGTGGATCAATCAACGCGACCACATGATGCACAGTGTCTGGAACAGCATCTTCACCTTTGAGATCCACCCAAGTTGGGAAATGCATCAGTTTCTCCTATAAAATCAACATAAATATTTTAGTTCATTTTTTCAACTAATAGAATAAAATCATTTACAATTTTACTGCAATTATTACATTGTAAGTTACAAATGGATTTTTATTAATACTCTACAATGCTAGTTAGGTACACTATTCTATTTTGTTCTGTGTTTGTGTTAATATATAACCGAGTCTTTATCCACTGTAAATATTTCTGAGCTTTCTCATCAGAAATTTATTTTGGAGATAAAAGATTTACAACTAAAAACTGATTTAATTAAAAATCAACTACAACAATACAAATTCACCATTTTTACCGCAGTAATATGTACGATATTTCGAGCGCTTTTATTTTTTAAATTATTTATAATATACTCTCTAATTTTTCATTGTAAACAAAATATGAAAAAAAAACCTACCGCCATCTTCTTCACTTCAAAGGCGTGCAGAGTAGCGGAACACACCACCATTTGTAATCGGCGGCCGTCGGACGTAATCTTTGGTATTTGGCGGTGAAGTCTTTCAATCAGTTCACCATACCCCGCCTTTAACAAACCATCTGCTTCATCCAGCACGAAGAATCGACAGTGGGTTAATGCTAAATAACCTGTAAGGAATTGTCATAATATATTATGTACTGTATTTATTTATATATTATATAATTATACAAGTACATATATATAACAAGGACCCCTGAGAGACATTTCATATTTATTAGATACAACCAATATCTGCGCCAGCCACCCTAAATTCCAAATATAATATAATTTATTCAGATACATGGTAGTCATCATAACAAATACAGGAAATGGTTTCTAAATACAATTTGATTAACATTTTCTTAATTTAGACCAAATGTGTCCACAATTGTGGACACATTTAGTGTGTTTTTTAGAGAAAGATGGTGTTATAAATAACTCAACTTAGAATGCCTAATGATAGTTGATAATATTATAATGCAACATACCTCCTTGAATAAGATCTTCAAGCCGGCCTGGAGTACCCACAACAATGTCCACTCCAGAATTAAGTTGATTGATCTGATCTTTAATATTAATGCCACCCACCACAAGCAGCTCCCGTACTCTTGGACTGTTTATATACTTCCTAAATTTTGTTATTTGTGTACATGTTTGTTCTGCCAATTCACGTGAAGGCTGGAAAAATCATTCATATAACACTGACACTGGCTATGTATGCATATAATAGTACTAACTGTGCTCGCAAATTAAATAATCATTAATAGTGAATTCAATATTGGCATGCATTGCATAGAAAATAAGTCTAAAATGCTAAAAAATATTTCTTTTTCTTGGTCTAAATAGTTAAAATTTTACTGTATGTATGATTAATAATCCTGCTCTCTTCTTCAGGTAGTGCAGATGAAGAATACAGTAAAATAAAAGCCAACATACAAATGTTTGTATCAAGTACCTATGTTGCTTATCTAATGTCTGCAGCTCTATATGGTGTGCCAAAAAAAAGTTTTTATGCAGTTCAATATTAAAACTATACCTTGTGTTATATCATATTGATGATATATGCTATTTACTTCTAGCATCCATTTCTTACAGGTATAAATATTTTTGCAACCTCAGACTTACAATTACAGCAAAATGGTTGGCTATTCCATCATCATACTACTTGTTTAAATTATAATAATAATAAAAACTCTTTATTGCGCATGAAAAAAACAAATAATTACAAAAAATAAAGAAAAAAAATATGCGAACAAAAGGCGGCCTTATCGCTCAAAGCGATCTCTTACAGACAACCTGGGAGATAAAAGTATTGGGTGAGAGAAAGGTAGGTGGCGCACTAAAAAAGAGAGTTATATGAATACTAAATACATATACATACAAATACTAAAGGTATATATATAGAGAAGATTTTTAATTAGAGAGAAAGTGAGATATGATTAGTTTTTTGAAAATAGAATTGGATTGAGCTTTTCTAATAGAAAGTGGCAAGGAGTTCCAAAGACGAATAGCCTGGACAGTAAAGGATTGTGAAAAGAAGTTAGCAGAATGAGGAGGGGTTACCAGACAAAGACGTCTCGTACTGCGCAGCTCTCAGTCTTGTGGATCATTATAAAACACAATATTATAATAACTTTACAATTTTGTCACAGAAAATATTTCACCAGTTTTATTTGTTCTAATAATAATATGCTTTAATGAGTCTTAAACAATTACCTCAATGATGATGGCTTGTGGTGCATTATTCACAGGTTTGCTATCTGAAATAGCAGTAGCTGTCACAACATTATTCTTGACATACTCTTTGTGTGCTACACTTAATGGAAAATATTCTTTTGGTGGTGGAAACTAAAAATAAAAGTAATTATTATTTATATTAATAATGACTTAAACTTAACTATAGATATCAACTCAACAGAATTTGTGTTAAAATATTGTAACATACTTTAAAGGGGGTAGCGCCAAAATTAAAACTCATTTCAGCATTTTTAAGTACAACTGCAGGGAAGAAACAGTCCGACTTTCGTGCCTGGTCTAATTTAAATGCTACTCCTAGATCTTCTCCATTCTTTGTGTATCTGATCTCACTATGATTGATATTTAACATGCAACCTGAAATTTATAAATATGCTGTAACTGTATTTATGTTTACAATAAATCATTAATATGGTAAATACATATATATGTACCAATCACATCACCCTTGCCATAAGCACTGCCATAGTCATCAAATTGTTTTGCATTGGACTTCTTGCCAGTGCCACCAAAACCAAAGCCCAATCTATCAGTGCCCAGATCCAGTCTTGCCTATAATAAAAGAAATTACTTTTTAAGTTTTATATTTGGTTCAATGAGTGCAGATTAATTTTTTAATGAGAAAATAAAGGATTAAATTTAATGGACATATTTATTACATTTATTATAAAAGTACTTTTTACAGGGTTAATATAAGAGCTCATGAAACTGAGCAAATTTTCTAAAGAAATAAAGTAGGAAATTAAAAAGTATTTTTAAATCATTGACAGAAATTGAGCAGTCCTTTGATAAATATATTGTAAAAGCATTAATATAGATGTAATCCGAATAAAATAAAATAAGTCAAAACTTATCAGATTTCTCGGCACAACAATTTTATGTCACTTCATGTCAGTCTGGCTGGCTTTCAAATTATGGCTAACCTTGTTTAAGGTATGTAATAGGTGTAATTTTTATAACATACCGCTTGAGTAGACCAGCCAACACGGCATAGCCCTTCATCCGTGACAGTGGCCTCATAATAATAAGCTCCTTTTGTATGGACGCCTTTAGTAGCTCTACACCCATGCCAACCCTGCTGGTCACGAGATTGACATCTTGTTCCATCAGGAGTAACTGCCAAAGCGTCCGTTCGATCAAAAAACGACATTGTCCACTCGGATGAAGTTTGGGATATTACTTTAGTAGACTTCCCTTCTTGTATATCCTTTAATGTCTCCCATACAATTTGCAAGATTGGTAAACAAAAGGCACCGGTTTTACCGCTGCCTGTTTCGGCTGCCATGAGTACATCTCCGCCACCTAAAATTAGTGGGATAGCTTCAGCTTGGACATCAGTCGGCAGATTCCAATCCATTTCTTCGATGGCCTTTCCCAACTCGGATAGCACTCCGAATTCCTCGAAGGCCGTCATTATGAAACTATGCTAGATAAAATAGAGATGATCAATTACTAATCGATGCGGTTTTCTATTACTATGAAGTATTGTAAGACATTGGTTAGCAACTTCTTAAGAAATAAGTGAGAAACACTGTGAAACGACCGTGATCTGTGAAAAGAAAAATAATAGGTATGACCATAGATATTTTTTTTTTTTCCATATTCGTCCATCTCCTTTTCAGTGATGGAACAGGCAAAGATCCTTAGACCGTACAGCCTTAAGACCATAGATAATAAAACTTTACACAGCTTTTCTCTACAATATCACATAGATTAAAAAGATGACTTGAAGTGATCTGTCAGTTTTATTGTCATTCAACGTTAGGTTTTTTCTGGCTTTGGCGATTTGTAGGGTTAGGGCAAAGAGCAAAGGGTCCTAACCCTTTTTTGAAGATACATCCTCTAAAACCAGTTTTGCAAAGACAGTCTTGATTTCTTCCAAAATTTACTGACGTACCTTAACTAAAATTTGACAATAAACAAAAAACTATACTAAAGCCTATTGATACATGTTATAATAACATAGTTCCCCCCTATTATATTTACAATTTTGAGAATTGTTTTTATTATCGATTTCAAAACATCGATTCATAACACTGTAATATCACTATCGCGTCACAGAGTAGTTTTTTTTGTCTCATTCCTATTTTTACATGTTATCTGTGGACTTATTGTAATTAATTACACATTATTTTAAAAATGCCTGTATTATATTCTTTAAGCTATGTAGTATTATACTTTTAATCTTGATATAATATTTCTTTGTATATAGTTTATTTTTTTTAATTAATTATAATAGCTGGTTTAAAAAAGGTTGTTTCAATGAATTATGTAATGGAACAGTTGGTGCAAAATACTGAAGTCAAGGCACCTGTAAAACCTTCTATAGGCAAAACTTTAATATATATTACAGGCGGTTTAGGAGTGGGCGTTAGTATTATTTGTATATCATTTGTTTCTCCAGCGTTAAGAAAATTTTGTCTACCATATGTACCTGCTACCACTGAACAGCTAACCGGAGTAACAAAAGCATTGACTGGCCGATGTGGAAAATTGTTGGATGTGGGTTCCGGCGACGGTAGAATCGTATTTACTGCTGCTAAGTTAGGCTTTAAGGCGGATGGTGTGGAAATTAATCCCTGGCTGGTTATTTACTCCAGAATAACAGCCTTATTTAATTCTCAATACAGAGATACTCATTTCTACAGACGCAACCTCTGGAATTTTGATTTCAAGCTTTACGATCACATTGTGATATTTGGAGTAGAGCAAATGATGAGGGATTTTGAGAAGAAAATATTGAAAGAGACAAATAATGGTACTATAATAGTTGCATGTAGATTTCCATTGCCTAATATGAAGCCAGTTGAAACAATTGGCCATGGTATAGATACGGTATGGAAATATATTGTTAAAAGATAAATATGTTGTATAATGTTAATAAATTTAATGAATTATAATAATAACAATTTATTATTCAAAAACGTCCACTCCTTTTCCTGCCTGTATATTTGGTGTCTGGTTTAGTTTCTTTCCCTTGTTTCCGTCTCCTTTCCTTCTTTTCTAAAAGCCAAGCCCTTGTATTTTTTAGTGCTTTGCCTCTTGCATTTCTTGTTGCTTCTCTTCTAGCATATTTCACTTGTAAATTATCTTCTGCTTCCTCAGTTCCTAGAAAAGGAATATTTAATAGATTTGTACATTAATTCTACATATGTACAACACAAAAAAATAAATATTAATAGAAGAAACTTACCTAAAGCTTTTGGCAATGATGCTGCACCACCAGTCATGAGCACTAAGAAGAATTTCTTGGCTTTTGCAGAATTTGGGTAGTCAATGACCACACCCCCATAGAAACCAGCTTTCATTGCCTGTGTAGTCAGTAATTCTATCTGGCTTTCATTCTCAGGGTAAAATTGAAATACAGCTCTAGCAGACCTAGACTACATGTACAAAAAATATTATAAAAAAATATAGTAAGGAACTAAAAAACTTACTTATATACTATGCTGAAAGTGGGAGTCTAATTAATTTAATTAAGCTTTCATTGCTAACAGATTTGTTTTTATCTACATCTAGTTCATTGTTTTACATAGGCTTTCCCTTAATCTTTTAAATTTATTCATCTGTACAAAAGATGACATAAAAAGAACAGAAGGAAAGTTATGACCATGTCATCTTCTCACCATATTCTTACATTTCTATATATATATATATATTCTTATCATTATCTTCACTTTTATTATTTATATGTATGTTATATTTCATTATAATTATATTTATCTTATTAAAATAAACAATATTAAATTTTTCACTTGCAGAATATGCAGAAACTTACCAGTGCAGCATATAAAGTACTAAAGAATGTATAAAGTCTCTTTACAGGTTTGTGGAACTTCTTATCTGCATTAAACAGCCATTGTAAAGCAGATACTGAGACTGCTCCATCAAAACACCCTGCTCTAAATGGTACACCTTCACCCATATCTGCAAGAATTAGGTCCCCTTCTGTTTCACGTTCAAGTGCTACATCTGCAAAAGAATATAAATTATTGATTACATTATAATGTGGGACACTATATTTTTATCATACTTTAAATGCTATTATAATTTGATTATAGTACAGTAGTGTCACTATAAGCTTCATCTTGGTTGTACAATATATTTCAAGTTTAGTCCTAGCAGCAGTATTAGTAAAACATAAAATGGGTAAAGAACTTTTCAAGTAAATTTAGAGATTCTTAAAATTATCTCCACTTAACAAAAACAAAATTGGTACATTAATAGCAATCAAAGCAATGGCTAAAATATATGAAAATATTATAACACAGGAATAATAATATATTTCGGCCATTGATTTATAAAAAAAACAGTGCATTTATATAATTCACAATTTATAAAGGTGATAACAATTACCAAGCATAGCTGAAGAGATGTCCATGCCAATCCACATATGTCCATTCTCCTCAAGCACTGTACCTGAAAGTCCTGACCCACAGCCAATGTCTAAAAGCAAGCATGGTGTATCTTCAGACAACAACAGTAGCTCAATACATCTCTCAGTCATCTGTCCTTGGATATCTATTATTCTTGAGCTACAATTATACAAATGATAATAGAGTTATTTTATACAGTTCATCTGAAACAATCTATGATTATAATGCTAGAATAGAATGTCATTAAAGTGGTTTATTTATGATTTATACATATACTGTGAACAAAATATACTTCACCACCTATTAAGCACCAAAGAAAATATTAGGGACATAATTGAGTGTATTTACTAGTCTATTAATTTAAGACAAGGCATTGGATCGCCCGAGTTAGATTTAAATATTTTTAGCAGAATGAATTCAGTTACACCACATGGTCATAATTAACATAAGTACTTAATTTATACTTTTTGGTTATTGTTCTCAATAATTAGTTGCTATAGCTATAAACTAGGTGTTATAAAATCTTACTTTTGTGTATATTTTCTGGCTTCAGCTTCATTATAAAACTGAAAATAATTTAAAGTTTAGTTTAACGTTAAAATTAACAAAAAAATTGTAGTGGGTATTCAAATTACCAGCTCAGGCGGCGCCAAATGTTCAGGTCTTTTAGACATTATAAACTTTGAAGATATTTACAGAAATATAAAGTAACCACTTTTAATAACCTTAAACTTTCTGAATAAATAAATATTTCAAAATTATTAAATTATAATCCCATATGACACTGACATACAAAGAACTGACATGACAACTCCGGATTTCTTAATTTTTTTAAGACTTTGGCTATTAGAATTAGTATTTAGCATTGAAAGTAAAATAACTAGTAAAGAAAATTGCTACAGTCCGTTAACGCATTCTATAATGAATATCTAATTACAGGTTACTGTACGTAGCATCATCTACTTAGTTTGTGGGTCTATCCTAAGGTGTCCAAATAAATTCCTAGTTAAAATGAATTATCCTAAAACTTTTTCCTTTTATTTGTATTTCGGAATCCCTCAAGATTTGGAAGTGGAATTTGGCTTCTAGTTCTTGAAATGACGATATCAATTAGGAATAACAAATAATAACACTTTTCTTTTCTTTGGCAAGAGCCTTGTGTTACCTATTATGCCACTAAAAACAGGAAACGAGACGGGATAATGGAAAGGAACGGGTTAAATTTTGAATATACTCGGAATAATAACACTTACTACTAATACATACTTTCTCTGTCTATGTAATAACAATCGAACGAATGGAATTTCAAAATTCCATTTATATCACCTGACATCACTGAAAAGGAGATGGACGAAGATGGAAAAAAAAAAAAAAATTATGTCACCTGATTGTCAGCTCTAACGCTGACATATGTGTCATCTGTGAATTAATGTTTGTTTGTGTAAATTCTTGGCGGGAAACCGCTTCAGTATTTTCTTTTGCTACCTTATAATCACATATAAGTTATAATTTTCATTGTAAGAAAATATGTATTTGTTTTTATAAATCAGACAATTATGAAGTGGAATCATGCCGAAGGCGTTAAGTTTAAAAAAGGTTTGTTTTAACGTTACTTGCTTTATTTATCTTATTATGATTATCCCCTATTTGCTAGGTTTTTTACTTTTATTTACATTTCAGGTACAACTAGCTAATCACTCTAAAAATCAAAAACCTATTACACAGTTTTTTAAAAATAATTCGCAGTTAGATAAAAAGTTTGATGATTCATCACAAAATTCAAAATATGGTACATTGGAAGTATTACCGGCTAAAAGAAAGGCCTCATCACCTTTACCTTTCTCTACAGCAGAGTCTACATTAAAGATAGAGGATCCTTTTGTTAGTAATAATACAAAAACAAGTAACCAAAAAACACAGTCTCCTTTGAAGTCTACTTGTCTGAATAAAAAGATTAAATTAGAAACTTCTCCAGAAAAGCTTAAGGATTGCATTTTTGAAAAGTCACCTAAAAAAGAAAATAAAATCAAACTAACTCCAGATGCAAATAAGAATGCCGATTGTATATTATCATGTAATAATAAAAGTGGAGAGACTAATAGATCTCCACTCACTCCAGTCAAACTTGAAAATGTTATCACTTGTAACGGTAATAAATCAAGTGCAGAGGATGTGAAAGATTCTAAGAATGGTGAGGATAAAACGGGTATTCAAAGTTACTCAATCGTTTCTAAAATTGATGATGAATTTCATCAGTCAACAACACCAACCAAAAGTCCTAATATAGGTAGCACAGGTTTGTTTTATTGTAATATTTTTATCATTATTCTAGTTATGTTGTTGTATATAAAATTTATATAATTATTGAGTTAGGAGTATTGCCAATTCTTTGTTTTATATTGTATACTTTTCATGTATCTAATTATTACTCACAATTTCATTTATACAACTTTTTTTGTGAAGACTGTGTGAGTGTGGTTCAACATTATTACAGTACAACATTCACCTGGACTTGGAAAACTACATGTTACTCATGTAGTTCCAAAGAATGAATTGTCACCCTCAAAATGTGGTTCTACAGTGCGAATATTGGATTTCAATGACCATGATATTCAGGATGTGTTTGGTGACGATTGGCTCATTAATGATAATAATGAGGTTTGTTAATTACTATTACAATAGATGTAGATCTATAAATTTTGTTGATTGAATCTTTCATTCTGAGATACTATTTATCTAAGCGGAATATATATTAATTGCATTTAATGGAATGATTCCTTGTAGGCAATAGTGCTATTTATATCATTTAAACCCAGTATATTTTATTTTTATTTTAATAGAACTGCAGTGATGAATTGGATTTGAGTACCATAAAGCGTTGTGAAATATTGAGTGTGAAGCATCACTCTAAACCATTGGAGTTAAGACTGAAGGATGCTGCTAATAAAACAGTTACTTGTTTTGTTGAAGGAATTTGGTAAGTGAATTTCAATCTGTTTAAATATGTCATATGTAATGTAATTATTAATTTTTATCCAACATTATTTATTTATACATTTTCATAATAATTGTTCTGTAACAATTTTCTAAAATTCTTTGACTAAATATTATTACAAAAATTAATAGCAATAATTTATATTTTCCATAATTAGAAATATCTTGGACAGTTAGAAAGAAAAAGTTGTTTTGGAATGTATAAAATAGCACTTTCATATGATGTTCTGTCTCATAATAGAATAATTTCTTACTTTTTTAGAAACAATGTAATATAACTTACTGTGTGATTTATTTGTTGTTATTATTACCAGGCTAGACACTCCATTGTGTACTGGGGATGTTGTCAGTATTATAGCTACACGAAACTCATTAAATCAGTTTCATGTCAGTAACACATCCGGGTTGCTGGTGTTACGGCCTGATTACTTGTTATCGAGCACTAGTGTTGTCGCTGGTGTATTCTGTAAACGAAAAGCAATTCTTCAAGAGCGCTGGAGGGGTATTGATTCTTCAAATACTGCTGTTAGTATGCAAAATAGTCTGTTTTAGTAATACCATTTTTATAGTAATCTAATCTGAGATCATAGTAGTGACATAAACTTGACTTTATTGTAACACTTTATTGTTATGTGCATAAATGTCTGTAATGCGAACTTACTTACTAAATGATATATTCAGGACTGTGATCAGAGATTAAGTAGCATTTTCACATCGTATTTGAAATCAATTAATATTTTATCATGGAGAAGCCATTAGTTGAGTAGTATTACATAATTTAATTGTACAATTTTTCAGTTATCAAGATACACCATCACATGAAGCTGTATATAAAGTTAAAGTTATAGGTAGTTAAGTAGTATGTATTCTTTTTGTAATTAAAAAAGCTGAATTGTCTATTCCAGATGACTGTTGGCATTTTAATACATGAACTGGTTCAAAAAGCACTCACACAACAAATAATGGATATAGCTGTATTGCAGTCAGAAGCTAACAAGATCATAGAGGAATCAATACAGAGGTTGTATGACGCGGGATTGAGTGAGGATGAAGCTCGTTCAAATATACAAATATACATATCTCCTTTAGCCCAATTCATGCAGACATATGTTGCGAGTGGGAAGCCAACTGTTCCTGCTGTACAGGTTTCATTGATGCAATTTTTGTCATAGTTATTCTTAAGTCCCGGATGCAAATATCTACAATCTTCTACATATCGTTTTTCCTGTAAATTCTTTCAAATTAACAAAATATCTTGATAGATCTACCAGTGGTAGAGTGTAAAAAATACTGTGTGAGTACCTACTCACACAGACAATTTTTTACACTCTACTGAGGTCAGTCTCTCTTATTTCAACAGCTGCTTGGTATCAGTTGTAGGGTAGTAGATTAGGTACTAAAATTACAGGATAAAAAAAAAAGAATAAATATTTTAGTCTTTGTAATGAGAGATATCTTAGTCCTCTGGAAATGCTGTGGATATGTGGTCAGATACCACAGGTGTCTCTTGACAACGTAATGTCTGTACGTATGTTCATGTATGTAGGATATGGTTACCGCTTACCATTAGGTGAGCTGCCTGCTTGTTTGTCATTCTAATTACATAAAAAAAAGAAAACGATGAGCTAAGTATACACTAAAATGTTCATCAAACAAAGAAAGTCTGTCGAACCGTTATTTTTGCATATTTCATTATATTGTTTATATATATTAAAAATAAATAAATTGGTTCTAATACAAAATATGTAAATTATTTTATTTTCAGCAAATACAAAAAGACAAATGGATGGGCCACATCAATAAGGTGCTAGATATAGAAGAGAACTTGTGCTGTCCACAGTTAGGTATGAAGGGGAAAATCGATGCGACATTGCAAGTTACGATACACGATCGGAAAGGTATATCATAATTTATTTTCTTATTGTCAAATCCTTCTTGTGCATGGGGTGCATGGTACTAGACTGCTTTAATGCTTGATTTTTCCCTTCCTGTGGAAAAAACAAGTTTCTAAAGTTATGGGAGGCCAACTTCCGCCAACCCAAGAATTCAATTTTGCATCTTTATATTTTCACCCTTAATGTAGGGCATTTTTTACATTGATAATTTTCAGTTCAAGGCATTAACTTATTTAGTCTGTTTTAAAATGATCACTAATTACTAAATATAAAAGGACAATAAAAATGGCATACTTCTTGATTTTTATTATTATTATTGTAGCCTTTATTCCGACATTATCAAGTTTTGTTTAAATTGTAAGGTTTAACTGATGTTCTGATCGCATGCTTCTTTCAAAGAATTAGCCTTCTCTGATATTAGTCATGTATTTAATCAAAACAGTTAGTAATGGTAATTTAAAAATAGGTGCTCAACCGGAAATAGTACCACTTGAACTAAAGAGTGGGAAAGTCTCTATGTCAGCGGAACATCGCGGGCAGTTGGTGCTGTACGGAATGATGTTGAGCCTCCAGCGACGTGAGGATCCCACACAAGCACTGCAGAGAGGCCTGTTGTTATATCTCAAGTAATTCACACCTATGTTTGTATAACATGCAATGCCACATCTGTCTTATAATATTTTCTCTTTACTTTTTTTATGCAATGGTATGGGTAAACAATCTGACAGCCCACCCGAAGTGGCTAGGTTTAAGGGGCAAAATAATAACCAAATCCATGTTTTAACGTTTTTATATGTAAATTTTGATTGATTAATGTGTTTTTTTAGTTCAACAGAATTAATATTAAAAAGTTATAATAATTTTACATTTTTTTCTCTTCAGGGATCGGGTAGACCTTCGTGAAGTGAGTTGTGGATATCCGGAACGACGGGATCTGATAATGTTGCGAAATCAACTGGTGGAAAACCTTACTACTTCACCCAACGACGTAGATCCTGGTACGTATGACGTATAAATTAAATTACATACCTGTCGTGTGCATACCTTATGCACACCACTTGAGATACATTCGTTAATAAACTAATAGGGGACACGCCCAATAAAGTATTTATATCTAATTTAAGTTATACATTCGAGAATATTCAGTTATTTTAATATTGCCAGAGTAAGTTTCTAAGTACTTATTTTGAACATTCCGACTTAAACTTAAAAAATTACATTTAGCAATTTTTATGTTTTAAGTTGTAGACCTAACTGCAAATAATTAAAAGAAATCTTACGAGATCACTTGGTCAACACTGTTACCATTGCAGAACAATTGACAGACATAGAAGACGCATCGCTCCTTCTGCAGCAAAGATTGCCGGAACCTGTGCATCATGAGGGCGCCTGCACCAAATGTCCATATCTCACTATCTGTTCATTACACTTATGGTTAGTAAATTTCTATAATACTCATGGTCTTGTAGGAACTCTATACGTAAATCATTTACATATCAACAACTTTATTTATTCTAATTTAATATTTTTATTAAAAAAAAGTACTCTTTTATGATTGGAATAATAACGTTACTGCAAAAAGTAAAGTGCTAGTTGGGCTTGGCACACAGGTTTTCGAGTAAATAATCTAAATATGTTTTAATTCGAAACCACAGTATTTCCTATAATAAATAGATATTAGATATTATATAATTACTAGCGATAGTGATGCTTATGTCGGCCTTTCCTCTCTTTACAACGAATATTTAATTGAAAATTTAAAAACATGTTATTCAAATATTCAACAAAGTTGCAGAGAAATTCTTGTAAGTACTAAGTAATTGTGATGCATAGACAATGTACATTAGCCATGAATACTTTAGGATTAATTAAAAGTAAATAATTATTCAAGGCACACCGACGGTCCAGTAGTGTCAGATAAGCACCCGCTATCCAAACTACAAAGGCTAGCTTTAGGGCATTTATCACCTGACCATATAAAGTACTTTCTACACTGGTCGGCTCTGCTCAAAATGGAGGAAAAAGTACAAACGAATATGTCACCTTTGTACACGCTCTGGACGGACACTCCAGATAAGCGGTAAGTCATATAGCATATATACATTATTTTTGCATTGTGCATTAATGTCAGTATATGTTTGTATGATATAAGTAATATAAAATGTATGTAAATGAAATATTTACCTACCAATAAAATGCATCAGGCTAAAGTTACTGGTATTGTATTCACGACCTCGATGGTTTAGCAACTTACTTCTGATGGTCGCGGGATTGTACGGACTAGGTGTTTTCTGTGTATATTACTTAGTTTACTTTCATTTTGTTAGGTTTACATTAACATAACTTACCTAAGTTATGTATATTAATTATAATATTTTTGTCAATTCTGCATTAATGTTGATGCTATTTCTTTATTTTTTATGCGACTTAATTCGATTTCTGAGAGATTTCTTTTAATTCAAGGAAAGAATTTAGTGATTTCTTTAAACAATTTCTTATAAGAATTAACAGATTATAATAATATTTTCGATAAAATGTAAGTGGCATGTTCTACCGCACAATAGCAGTGGTTTACAAAATACTTCAGTTACTACCATTAAATTGAATCAGAAGAATGTGAATCAAGTGTAAATAGTAGAACTACTAAATAGCCTAATTGATTGAACTTTATTATAAAGTTCTCCCCTAGGCTATTCTTGTAAATTTATCTTTATGTATATAATTTGTATTATGTCAGACTTTTTTGCATAGAACGAAAGCATAATAATGTTTGTAATTATAGAGCGAAACGTGGTACATGCGCACCAAATTTACAACTACAATCTGTACAAACATCTGAAGATAGATATTTACATATATTTAAAAGAAAAGCAGCAACAGGTACTTATTATTTATTAAATTACTATTAATATTAATAAGATCTCACTGTAAAACATATAATGTTCAATAAATAAAGAAATAGTTGTGCGTATATGATGGATTTCGTACTTGCCAATTGTAGAATAGATTTTTTTTTCGGATGACTCTAATGCTGTTGGTCATAGCTCCTTCCTTTACAGCATCACCGGATAGGAGGGGAGTGCAGACGGCACTCCTAACCCACGGAAGGACTTATGGAGCGGCTGAGGGCCAACTCCCGCCTGACATCCGTCAGACTTTAGTCTGAGGGCACCGCTAGGGGATTGAACCTCGGCTCATGCCCTCGTAATTTCGAACCCCGTTTGAATTGGACGAGGAATCGATCGGAATACATTGTTATTCAGATGAATTTTTGAATAAGATCAAAGTCGTATTGCAATCCTTAGGTTCTTTTCACATAACCTGGAGATGCCCAAATGATTTAATATTCAAATGAAATAATGCTATTTTATTGAAATATATTGAATTTAATTAAAAGGTCTTTATTACAGCTAACAATAAAGAAGAAACATCTATTAAAGGACCACAAGTAGGCGAATTTTCAATAGTGAGCATTGAAAATCGGCCATGGATCGCCGCCGGCGTTGTTATGGTCTCTAATGAAACAGAAATTAAAATCCTTTTAGAAAGGTAAACATAGATTATAGAGAGCCCCGTAAGCTCAATAACTAGTAACTGTTATGAAATATGTAACTGAATTATTTACTAACTGTTGATTGTGTTGAGGCTGCTTTTAGTTTGCTTTGGGAGAAGTGGAATTTTGTATATAATTTTATTATTAACTAGCAGTACCTGCGACTTCGTCCGCGTGGAATTTAACTTTATATTTCTAAAATAAAAAAAAAATCTATAATAAAAGTAGCCTAAATTACTCCTTATTACATCAGCTACCTGCCAAAAAAATCTCGTTAAAATCGGACCAGCTATTTCAGAGATTAGCCGGAACAAACAGACAGACAGACAAAAATAGTAAAAAATGTTGTTTTGTGGTATGTACCGTATTTATATTCATATGCATGTAATAAAAAACGGTTATTTCAATATTACAAGACACTCCAATTTTATTTATATGTATAGATAAAACGATATGTTTTTGTATTGTGGCCACTCATTGAAATGTAGTTAAACGGTACCGACAGGCTTTTTACATACATAACTATAGCTACCACCTATCAACCACTAACTATTATTAATTATTTCAGAAACCTAAGTCTTCGTTTAAATAAAACAACACTGTTTCACATCGATATTTACGAATCATATGCAACTGTGGTAAACAATCTCAGTAACTTAGGTGTATTAATGGATAACGATGATCGCGCGCTAAGATTAAGAAAGTAAGCATTTTGTGTTATTATATATTTTGTTTGAATTTGAGTTCTTTACCACATACGTTGTTTAAATACAGTCTAACTAATATTGCCTAATTTTAGTATTCACATAATTACCCTATTTACAGGTTAATAATAGATAAAGAGGAGCCACTGTTTGAAAAGAAATTGCCGAGAGAGGTAGGCCGACTGGGTACTAAATTGATGCGGTCATTAAACATACAACAACAACGGGCAGTACTTAAAGTACTAGCTGCCACTGACTATGCACTGCTCCAGGGTTTGCCTGGCACTGGTAACTTAATCATTTATGTTATTATATTTGAATGAGTTGGGGAGTGACCAAACTAAAAGAACTAAATTGAGGAATTCTACTTGTGAACTAATGCGTAAGATTACATCCTCTCACGGTCGGTGTACGTCAATTCATTTCTTGGCTTATGATAATTTTTGCAGCTTTTGTTTTCTATCATCCTATATGGCATCACGGTGGCATGGCGGCGGAGATATGGTCTTTTATGAGTATTTTATATATATATATATATTTACGTGTGGTGTAATATTTTCTATTATGATATAAATTATTTATTATATAATATGTAATTTATTATATTTGTATATGATAAATGGTAGGGGGCTGGGAGTGCATGAATTCGGAAGCCGGAAGATCGCACATAGTTGAAAACATTGAGAAAGGCCTATCCAACAGTGGATAGATATGGGCTGAAATGTGATGATGATGATGATTATTTCGTATATAACATACAATGTATACATATATGTGGTTTCTACGTCTATTTATTTGTACCTGTATATATTGTTATCATTATAAAGTTTTTTTTTACAATGTTTCAGGTAAGACGCAAACAATAAGCGTTCTAATACAAATGTTGGTGGCATTAAAGCAACGTGTTCTGGTCACTGCACACACACACTCTGCCGTTGACACTGTTCTATGCAGGTATAAATATATTTAAGTAAATCTATTTAATGACAATTAAACTTGTATAAGGTACAGTTGTATACTACTACAAGTATAATACGGGTTGTTATGTCGCAGTACGGGCAGACATTTATAAATACATATCTATTAATAAAAATTTAAAATAACCATGAATAAAAAAATCTAATAAATTATATCTATGTAAGATGTTAGAACCATCTCGACTACGACAGCTCCAAATAAAAAAAAACCATCTTAATCGATCCATTCGTTTGGTTTGGGATCTATGATGGCAGAGACAGATACACGGGTGCAAATGATATGTGTAGGTTGCCGGAGCACATGAAAGTTATGCGGCTGGGCTCCGAGGCGCGCGTGGCGCCGCAACTAGTATCTCGCTGCGAGCGTCGTCTTGCCGCACACTGCCGCACTCCGATGCAGCTGGACGCATTATATAATTCTATGGTATGTAAGTTACTATATTTATTTTTACATTATGATGGTTGAATATAAGCTTCTGATGGTAAATGGTTACCGTAGCCTATGGACGCCTGAGACACCAGGGGTCATGTTGCCGCGATGCGTTGCACGCGTTGCCGATCCATAAGAAACTTCAATATTTCCTTCTTGAAAAACCCCATGCAGTGGTCTCGTGAGAAAACCTTGGCTCATTTTCGTAATTTTCTACGAAGGTAATAAATTAATAATTCAATCCATATATAAACTTAACTTTCCGCTAAAGGAAACTTTTTAGTATAAAATTAGTCCAATTTCCATTACAATCCCGTTTATACCTTTACAGGTCGTAAAGGTATCAAACAGACATATTTCACATATATAATATTAAAACAATATGAATGACAGCTACTTTTTGATATGGGTCTTTATCGTTGTTTATCACAGGAGGTAGTTGGCGTAACCTGTCTAGGGGCAGCCCACGCAATGCTCGCGCGGAATATGTTTGACGTGTGCATCGTAGACGAAGCTACGCAGGTATCTATGTTGAATATTGGCATAATGTATTTGATTTGTGATCATAGCACTGAAAAGCTAAAAATAACATGGCAGTAGGACTTGATTATGATCTAAAAGAACGTTCACCACATTTTCATATATACTCGGTAGTGGTATCAATTCCATATTCATATTATTGCTGAATTTCTGTAAATATAATGGTTTTTTATATATTACCTACAATTCTAATATTGACGTTAATCTCTGGAATTACAATTAAAATTTCCGTAGAGGAATTGAGTGAAGTCTAAAAGCTCTAAAACATGATTCTTCTTTCTGTGGCACATTGCGATCGCGAACCTTATTTATACAGCCCGGTGCACAGTGGGAACTCGCCTAAGAAAGCCATCTCATAAATACTTTTTCTAAAACTCCGTGGATATGCTTGTATAATACCTCAAATTGTAGCCAAAGAGTTACTCTATCATTATAAATATGATTCAAATCTCTGACTATTCATACTTCATAGAATGGAGCCTCTAAAGTCAAGGAATGAAAAAAATACAAAAATAATTTTGTAACTTAAATTTGTTTGGTATAAATTTATAGTATCAAAACAATATCAAGTCATATAGTGTGATACCATTTTAGAATGCTTATGTGTACTTTACTATAAAATGAAAATATATTTATTTTAGTTGAATATTATTTAACTAAAAATCCATATATCGTTATATGTACTATTTTCTTTTCTCAGACTTTCACTTGGAGATTTGACAGTTGCCGAAGCTTGCCGAAGTTCTAAATTTGGTTTTATTTATTAGGAAATATAATGTAATTTGATGGCATAACATTTTTTTTTGCAGTTTCACTGCGTAAAATATTTAAATCGAGTATAATATCATGGTGAGGTTTGTTTTTTCTAAGTACGTATATTAAGATTTTCTTCTTTATTTGAGATTTTCTGTCTGAATATTTAAAAAAATACTTTTTGGACAATTATTACTATATATTTTATCTTTTGCCTTAATTTTATCAACTATTTCACACAGTATATAGTTCCCATTCCCATACAGACCTATTCTATACCGCATAATGTTAAATATTTTTTATCAAGTAATTTTGCACACGTATATGATCATTATTAAGTATAAAATAGTGTATGTATTTGCATATGAAATATTACAGTTCTTCATAAACTTTTCGTCAACGCTATTCGAAATGTGGTCGAAAGAAAGAGTTTTTAAATAAAATAGCAATTTATAGGATGGTATTTTCACTGTAAATCTAGAAAAAAAGTACATGCGAACCTGAACCTCCTACTTCGACAGAAAAAAGAGGAAGACCTTCTAAAAGGTACGAAGTTCGGACAAAGAAACGAAAAAACAAGGCTTGCTTGATACTTGTGGACTTCATACTGAACTCATATGTACAGGGTTTAAGGGTTTCATCATTGATATTTTACGAGCATTGCCACCAGAAAACTAGAATGAATTGAGCAATCTTAATGAATAATCTTATTAATGAACCGGCATATATAACAGCATATTCAAAACATTAAGCTTTTAGCATTTTTATAAAATTGGATCTGAACAAGGCACAGTACGAAAATATGAGGAGTTGTTTGATAGCAAAGAATTACTTATTGTTTCCATCATACAGGTTGATTCGTGAAGCTAAAGAATCGTGCTATCCGCCAAAATTATGTATTACTAACGTTAAAGCAGAAATCAAATGTATTACCATTTTGCAAAACCCACAGAGATGAACAATAGAAAAAGTACAAAATAAACCTGTCGATGAAACTTCCTATCAATATGGCCTTTCAACTTTGCATTCGTGGAACTTATTTTACATTTATCTTACAATTAAAATACAAATCAATAAAAATGGTCTGCCACAACAACAGAAAATAAAAATTTAAAAAAGCAAAAGAAGGCTTATGTACAAAGAAGGTTCAGAGAAGAACTTGGATTAAATATAGATATTGGCAACACTAATGACGGCAATACAGCCACAAGATTTTTCCAATATTATCGTTGTGCATCAGAAATTACTAGTATATATGAGGAATTAATAAAACTGTTTTATGTTATGAAATGAAATGTGAACGTGTGACACGTTTCAGTAGATTTAAACAGTTCAGGCTTCATCATGCAAGACAATGTTCGAGGGTAGCCTCTAACAAAGATGTTCTACACGCATTTTTATATACCTCTGACCCATACATAACAAGTTTAAGAAAACCTTCCAATTAAAAATATTTAGTTCTTTTTGATGAAGAAAAGGAGGTCTTGAGTGACTTGTAAGCTATCTTTATTTCTGATACTTTTACTTATTTCTGTATAAACTTCTTGACATAAATGTAAGTCTACAAATTCTATATTTCTTGTATTCCTAAATTATTTATAACTATTAGAAATATTTTTTTACTCACAAAGCATACATTATTTAAAAGTATATATATTTAAGATTATCAGGAAAAAAAATCATGTACATATCTTTATTAATACAGAAGTTATAGATTTATGAGATGAAAATGAGTCAAAGTTCCACTGTGCGGTGGCCGGATGCAATACGCGGACCGTATCTTTGACACGATTAAATTATTGTATTTATCCTATCCAATAGGATATTGGATTTTTGGTTGAATATGTGACTACTTATAAAAAAAAAAGATAATATAAATGACGTTATCTTTATTAGGTGGTACAATCCACGGTATTGCGGCCTCTATTCGCGGCAAAGCGTTTCGTGTTGGTTGGCGACCCAGAACAACTGCCGCCAGTTGTCAAGAGTCGTGCCGCTAGGTGGGTACATAAGTATAATTTAAATTTAATTGAAACTTTTTTATTATTAATACTTCTTACAGTATGAAGTATACAGCAACGCTGTCCGTGTGAAATATACCCGATACTTTGAATAAAGGAAATAATTTTTCATGTCTAATATTTTTTTATGGTTATCCATCACGGATAGATACATTTTTCCTTTTTATGTTGTCACACTGAAAAATATCCCGTATATGATTTCTATAGATAAATTTATAGTTTAGTAAGGACACATTCCTTATATTGTATTTTTTTAGACGTCTCGGTATGGAAGAAAGTTTGTTTCATAGACTAATGAAAGAAGACGTAACATCAACTCTTCAGCTTCAGTACCGTATGAACCAAGCCATAGTGAATATTGCCAACAAGGTCGCGTATACAGATCGTCTCAAGTGTGCTAATGTACAGGTGGCCACAGCGAATTTGACTATTGACGCACAGGTAATAAAAAACATAATTTATCAGCTACCATCACATATATATCCATCCTAATAATGACATCTTTTTATGTAGAAAATGTCGCAAATACCCGAGTGGTTAGTTGAAGCGTGTAGCACAAGAGCAGACCGCGCCGTTGTGTTTTTGGACGTGACTGCCCCCGCCGACACCGCGCCCTGCGTCAACAGGAGCGAGGCTTGTGTGGTACTCGCGCTCGTCAACGCTATGAAAGAGGTTATCAGATTGAATTTACGATATGATTTGGTTTATAATAATAGTAACATTTATACCTTTTTTGGGTATTACTCATATATTTTTAGTCTACCCCTTACTTTGGAAGTAAATAAAGGAAAGTGGTAGCTTAAAAAATATTACTATTCAAAAGAAAGCAGATTACGCCAAGAAAAATGATAAACGAATGTAATATTTTTGTGAAATTTGTCTGAGAACACACTTACATTACACGGCTAGCATTACCATTACGACCAAAACGAATTCGAGTCACGACTTAAAATATTCAATTTACTTGCTTGAGTACAGGTAAAATGCTTTATATATAATATTTTTGTATAATACATAAAGTTTCAAATTTAATGTTGTCTTGATGGTCTATTTATATATTTTGTTGTGCAAATATCTCTCCGGTGATATTCTTCGGCTACTATATAATAGAATTGATAGTGTAATAAACAATACAATGTAATAAAAACACCAGGAGAAACCATGCTAGCCGGCGTGGTAACAGTGCTTGTTGACTAATATCTTTTATGAGTGCCATGGCCGGTGTTCATTATGTTATATATAATAAGAGATAATGAATTCTTATTACTATAGTAAACTTATTATTTAAGATAATTAACAAAATACATAATCTTCTAGGGAGGCGTACAATCAACTGACATAGGTGTCATAGCACCATACCGTGAACAAGTGAACCTGCTGCGACGTTCACTCGCTCGTTATACAGTCGAAGCGAGTACAGTAGACCAGTTCCAAGGAAGGGACAAGTCTGTCATCATATACTCATGCACAAGAAATGACGTGCGTGAGGACAACAGTAAAGTCAAGGTAAACATTTAAATTAATTGTTTCCCATAATGTTCTTAGCCAGTTTGCAAATAAACATACATATATTCTTGAGCATTCGTAATTAAGAGGGAACACGCTTCTGTCCATATTTGTTCCTTAATCAATGCCTGCCTTCAATAACGATGTGAATAAAAAAATGTATGAATGACTAGTACCTATAATATAAGCAATGGCGACATAGCATAGCTTGAATCGCATGTGAATATTCACGGAATGAAAATGGCAGCACACAGCTTAACCTTAGCAGCCCAGGAAATTAGATATTGAGATTGTTTAGATGACGCTATTGAGAATGCAGTCAATTCAATAGTCGCATCATTTTGTTTATAAGTTTGGCTAAACATCAATAATAATATAATAATACATGTAAGAATACTCAATTGAATGGTAACTTTAATAAAGTAACGACAACAAATCTCTGGGAATAATGTTGTACCAGAGATTTGTATTATTAATGTATTTATGTGTTGTTGACAGGAAAGTGAAATACTAAACGACCGAAGGCGATTAGCGGTGAGCGTGACTCGCGCGAAATACAAGTTATTAGTAGTAGGTAATTCTCGAGTACTGCGTCGTTACGCGCCACTTCGTGAACTAATTGCAGCGTGTGCAAATTTACCACTCTCAAATGAAACGGTAGCCGCTGTCCTACATAAATATAGGGCGCTAATCACTTGACCAATATGATATACATATGTATGTATACAGCGCTACGTATAGTTCGGTAAGAATGAATAAAAAGTTCCTACTTACTGAAACAAATGAAGTTTAAATCGTTGGTTATAGTCGAATTGTTACAAAGACGATTGCTACTTCTTGTATTGGACCTGCGTGATACACGCAACAGAAGTATGAAAAAGCTGTTTGATTATATAGTCAGGTACAGTTACAAACATATAACATTCGATAGTAAATTAATCTCAATTTTGAAATACATACATTACAATATATTTATAGAGCAACTTGTCACCTGAATCAATGAAAACTATACCAAATTGCTTACGCTGGTTTTCGGAGACAGTATCAAATGACAGTAACGGGTTTCAGTTAGTCCAGTTGATTTGTATTAGACGTTAGGCGTTTCAAATATTAGATCTCATTTTGAAATATTACTTAATAATAATACTTAGGTTTGTCCCCATTTCGTATTTGGTAAGTAAGTTGGTAAACAAGTAATTTAGTATATTTATCTATCTATGAAAACATTAAAGAGGCTTTTTCAACGTAAATTTATACTACACAAAGTTTTAACTATGGAATATAAAGTAACAAATAATATATAAGTATTATAAAATTCGGTATGAGAAAATATTTTCAGTCCACTATAGTAGTATAGTACAATCTAAAATAAAGGGGATTCTTAATTTTATAGTTCTAATTTTAATAGTAGGTAATCGAAAATTATGTGTAACCGTTTATCGTTAAAAATATGTGCTATATAAATGGTCTTATTACTTAAATCAATCTCTAATATTTATATGTATGTATATATACAGAGACTCGAATATTTATTTCGACTTATGTTATTGCTATTGTTAATAAAATATTCTCGTAATAATTGCATGTAAAGATATGTTGTATGTACTAATATTTATAATGAGGTATTGCGTATTTGGAACTGATCAGACTGTTTGTTGTAATAAATTTTATTAATTATAATTTTCTTTTTCTCATCCTGTCTTTTAATACCTAATCATTTATATAATATTTACAGTATGTATGCAGCAAGCTGCTGTATCGCTACTGTTTTTGTTAATGTTGGACAGACTCGAATTCACTAGTTTAAACTACAGCATTTCTAGTAAGCTCTATTTTTCAATATGTAAAGGCGCCGGTATACATTGACGAGTGTTATATGAATTGAAGTCATTTATCCCGACCTGACAACAAATTAACTATTAATGGTTTCAAGTAGATTTTGACTTTGTAAGATTAGTGGGAACGAAGGGATTGTTAACAATGGCCATCGCTAGCAATGCACCATGTCAGGTTGACTTTTATGCGGTCTCCCCTGGACCATCGTGGTCAATTCCAGATAAATAGTCCACTATGGACTTACTGACTTCATGCTCATTGTGTCATCCTACACTGTTGCCCAGCCCGTGTAAACCGGTAGTATAGGAGGGTGCACCATACTACTATCTATTAATCTATACATATAAATAACATTGGAGTGTCTCTATGTAATATTGAAATCAGGGATGAAATTATTTCTGATTATGTGTTACTTTCGGATAATTTCGATCACCGATATAATTTTTTTGAGGGAATTAAAAAATAAAACACAAATAGCTAATAAAATGTTTACATAACGTGTCTCAATTAGCCTCTGCACCTATCTGATATTATCCGAAACTTTTATTTCGGATTCCGTTACGGTTACGAATCTTTTTTTATATCGGATATCCGATAGTTTCGGTTATGGTTACGGAGCTCCCTAACACCCCTGATTGAAATAACCCTTTTTTTTACTACAGGCATATGAATGTAAATACGGTACATACATCAAAATAACATTTTTTATCATTATTGTCTGTCTGTTCCGGCTAATCTCTGAAATGGCTGAACCGATTTTGACGGGATTTTTTTAGCACGTATTATGGAGTAAATTAGGCCACTTTTATTTTAGATAAATAAAGTTAAATTCCACGCGGAAGAAATCGCGGAAACAGCTAGTCATTAAATAATGATATATCTACCATGTTAATTAAGTTTTTTTTCTTTTCTCTTTTTGTGAATTGGCACGTTGGTGCATTTGCCAAAGACAAAATTAAGGTTAAGTACGATTTTGTGTTCTTTTAGTGACTGATACTTAGATACTGACATATTATGTCATTTACTTAGAGTATTATGGTCCTTGACGAGATGTGATTATCAAAATTTACGCTGTGTTTATTGTTATCGAGTTGTTATCACTGTTATTTATATTCCTTTGTAGCGTTGCTGATGAAGTGATGTAATAAAATTCTCACGCTGCAGAGTACTACTTATTGTAACTTATATGTGGCACTGGCAAATTATTTCAGTCGTCAGTGCATAAATTGTAATCACTGAATACTCCGGTGCGTAACAAAGCGAGTCTGATATAATTGCAAACTTATTTGAAATAATTTTTGTGAATTTATTACAATACAGCATCGCATAGTATAAACACTGGCGTAAGTGCTTACAGTATCAAATTATAATTGAATGAAATTACTTATTATGTGATATGAACATGTGATTACTATCTTATTATTAATATTATAAACGCGAATGTTTGTGAGTATGGATGGATGTTTGTTACTCTTTCACGCAAAAACTACTGAACGGATTTTGACGAAACTACAGTATTATAGCTTATACATCAGAATAACATATGGGCTATAAATTTCACGCGGGTGAAACCGGGCACAGCTAATATTTCATATATTAATTGCATGTTCATATTAATTATATGTTAACAGTTCTCGCAATGTACAGTTCTTATACATTTAAATTTGGCTTTAAAGCCTGTATTTGTGAACACAGGCTTATTATATTATTGTTTTAGAAAGAAAATGGTGAATGGAGTAGCAGTGATTACTATAAGTGACACTTGTTTTAAAAATAATTCAAATGATACATCTGGACCCTGCCTCGCTACACTTGCTAAAGAGGTTTTCCCCAATGCAAACTTGCATACAATCATTATTCCCGATGAGAAAGAAATTATTGAACGAGAATTGAAGTACTTTAGCAATTCAAATATTGACTTAATTTTGACCACTGGAGGCACTGGTGTAAGTCCCAGAGATGTCACTCCAGAAGCAACAAAAGCAGTGATCAATCGAGAAGTTCCAGCAATTTCAGTTGCACTAACACTAGAAAGTTTAAAGAAGACACCTATGGCTATGTTGTCACGGTCAGTTGCTGGTATAAGAGACAAGACATTAATAATAAATTTCCCTGGTAGTAAAAAAGCTGTTACAGAATGCTTTGAAGTGGTTAGGCCAGTGCTCTCTCATGCAATTTCTCTAATAAAAGATGAACAAGCAGAAGTGAGATCAATGCATGATTCAATACAATCTGGTCATGTTTGTCTCCACCATAGTAGTGTGGATATGACAAAAGTTGCATTCCGACCAAGAGAGTCACCATTTCCAATGGTAGAAATGTCAGAGGCATGGAAAATTATAGATAGTGTAATGTCACAATGGACTGAACTCTTGGAAACAATCTCTATAGAAAATAGTCTAGGGAGGGTGGTAGCACAGCCATTACATACAAAGGAACCAATGCCGCCATTTCCAGCTTCTGTTAAAGATGGTAACAATCCTGTTATATCAACATAGATAATTCATATTTTTATGTAATTAATGTACCTTGAAGATTATCCTACATCGGTGTAAAAAAATATACTCTGTACTCAATAGGCTTAACGAAAAATATTACATGTTTGTATTATGAAAAAAAACCTATCCCAGAGATGCTGAAAGGAACTCCCACACAGTGATCTGCACTATACTACAGTGATTTTCATTGGGCCAGTATTGAATTACTAGACATAAAGAGGTGACTTTAGTATACCAGATTTTTTTATTCTGTTCATATCTAAAATTAAGAGCAAGAGGTAAGTGGTTCCTTAGCTTTCACTTTAAGCTGTACTATGAAATGTATTATAGGTTATGCATGCATCAGCTCAGACGGTGCAGGCGTGCGTAAGGTACGATCTGTGTTGACAGCGGGTGACGCCCCCACTCAGCCCCTGATACCAGGCGAGTGTGTCAGGATTAATACTGGTGCCGCCCTCCCAACTGGAGCCGACTGTGTTGTACAGGTTTGTAACTGTTGAATAATATTGGAAATTTAAAAATAAGAATGGGTATTGTTAAATAATGAAGTCATCTACTTGGGTACCTCCGACTTATCTATTTCTGCCTTTGGTTACAGTTATATAAAAACAATTAGTAGTTGTCTTTCTTAAAAATGTTTATTCAGAATAATGTAGTAAGTACAATCTTATTTTCCAAATTTCCATTTTGCAGGTAGAAGACACGAAACTGGTGTCGGCTTCGGACGATGGCGAGACAGAGTTCGAGGTGGAGATTATGGTGGCGCCAAGTTCTGATCAAGATGTCCGACCTATTGGCTTTGATATACCCTTGGGCGCAATGCTTGTGAATACAGGTAAAAAAAGCATTAGCTGTTATATTTTGTAATCAAAACAGACTTAAGTATATAAAACAGTTCCAACATAATACAACCTTCATCTCACCTAAAAGTTATTTTATTAGTAGCATTCTACTAATAAAGTAGATTTCTATAGAACATTTTATATTTTTTTGAAATAGTAGAGTAATATTAGAGAGTTACAATAATGACTGTTGTATTATACAAAGGGGCATTTCGCTAATATAAAATATTTTTGATTATCAAGAATGTCACACCTTTTTTATTTGGGTAATGATAGGTCCATTCTAAACATTACTTGGCTGTTGATTAAATATGTGTTTTGGTTAAAACTTTTTAGGTGACGTTCTTGATGCTGCGTCAATTGGTCTCTTGGCGGGAGCTGGATATAAGAATGTGACTGTCAAAGCACATCCGAAGGTTCGTACATTATTATTGTTATTTTTTTTATTTCTATTCACACTTACATGGCATTCTTTATGGATAACAATGAAACGGTTTTCCTGGCTGCGCTAACGGTAGGTACACGTTCAGGGTACTAGAATAGTGATGAAATAAAGACGAATTCAGTCAAGTCAGTTAGTGATGTTTTCAACTATGGTGGGTATCAAGGAAAGTGGAACTGACGCCATATACCACTAAAATGGGGCTAATAATTCCCATTACATACAATCTAACTCCATACGTCGTTTATTGAGCATGAGGTCTGATTTAACGTTTATTCAGCTGATTTACTGAACAATATAATTTATATGAACAACCCTTTATAGCACCATGTTTCACAATCCTTTAATCTCTTATATGTGCTGTCATATATACCAAAATATTGAATAAGCTTAAATGATGGCTGAGTTGAACATATTCTTGAAGTTAGGCAATTTATTATTCTATAATACAGGTGGCGCTACTTTCAACGGGAAATGAGTTGCAAGAACCATCGGAAAAGAATCTTCGTCCTGCGCATATACGAGATTCAAATAAAACAATGTTGAAGATATTGCTTAGGTCAGTAGTTAAATTAGTTTTTATAGGTGTTGTACATGACCTACATTTTTCAGCGCAGCAGTGGAGACTGCAAATCAAACAGAACGTTGTACCACGTCTGTGCGAAAATGTTGGGCGGTACATTAGAAATGAAGTGTTAGCCCGTGAAAAAAGTTCTAACGTTTGCACTAGTCTTAAAGTTTGCACCGGCAGCACCTGAAAAATATCCGTCTGGTCAAATTAGTGGGTAATACGATCATAGTACATACTAGCTCTACTTTATCGTACACATTTGTTCATCAGAAAATAAGTGTTCTGGCAGTCCTGGAATTTGGGAATTATTTCGCCAAGCCGTACTGCCAAGCCAAGCATTTACTGTAGTCAGCCTAATCTCACGGACGTATTTGAACTACGTTTGTGTTTAATCCCCACAGTAATCGATAAAGATAAAGACTCTCTCGAGACCCGTATCTGCAGTCTTTAGCGGAGGATCTTGTATTTCAAATTAAACACCTGTGTTTTATTTGTATATTAAACTAAATACTATTTTTTAACATATAATTTTGAAAGAGCTCTTCTCTCCATTGTTTTTGCTAGTTTTAAGATACGGCTATAATGAAACGAAATACGTACATATGTTAACAGAGAGCATGGGTACGAGAGTATAGACTGTGGCATCGCTCGTGATTCACCTGCGCAGTTGACTTCCGCTCTTGCGACGGCCATGCAACGTGCCGACGTGGTGGTGTGTACCGGGGGTGTTTCTATGGGCGAGCGGGATTTACTCAAGCCAGTGCTGCTGAAGGTTAGCTGATGTCATCATTATATATAGTTACCGGCAAGTAACATGTACAAAATGTTATTACCTCGTCATCTGTGCAGTAATAAATTTATGTACACAAGTGGCTACTGCGCTGCGCCAACTACACCGCAACCTACCAAATCTACCGGAATCGATTATTTATTTCTGTTTATCATAAATTATGTATACAAGGTATGTTATAGACATTATTATTGTTATTATAAATTGTATTTTCGGTACTACATATGTCTACACTACACTCATATAAGATATATGATAAAGGGCTTAAAGTAAATAATAGTATAAATAATACAATGTATACTACATTTTCAGGATTTCAATGCAACTTTACACTTCGGCCGCGTACGTATGAAGCCGGGAAAACCAAGTACATTTGCTACATGTCAGTTCGAAGGGAAAATAAAATATATATTTGCATTACCAGGTAAATGTTTTGTACAAGTCTATAAAATATCAATTAATGTTTTTTTAAATAGTTACCTACTACAATATACTATTATTTGTTTTTAAAACAGTATATTGTACTAGTTTTCAATAATATTGTAAGGATTGGTTGGAAACTTAATTCTAAAATATCGTACAATTAATTTCATATTCGTTTCTATAAGTGTGGTCGTCGATTATTGGTTCGCAGGCAACCCTATATCAGCGTACGTGTGCTGCCTGGTGTTCGTGGTGCGCGCGTTGCGGGCGAGCTGCGGCCTCAATCCGGAGTGGCCGCGACTGAACGTGCGGTTGGCGGCCGCCGTTCCGCTCGACCCCCGCCCCGAGTACGCGCGGGCCACGCTGCGAGCACGCTACGACTACTGCGACGACCTGCCTATTGCTACGTTGATTGGGAACCAGGTTATCTATTTTATACTACATCATTATCGCATTTATAACAACAATACAAGCACAAACCAATGTGCAAGTAGTGTACAAATTGAACGGCAAATTTTTTTCAACACATCGAAAGTTGTAATATGTCTTTCAGATAGAGCAATCGCTTCGAAATTGAATTGAATTGCGCATTTAGGAAATTATTACAATATATATAATCTGATTTGACAATGAGTATAACCACACGATTGCTTGGACATGTGTACAAAATTATAATGTGGCACGCGGTCCACTAGTGTAGGCTAGTTTATGATTAGCGCTTTGTGATATGTCCACGAATATTATTTATAAATACGAATTGAATAACAGTGCAGCAGCCGGCTACTGAGTGCTTGCGGAGCGGGTGTGCTGCTCGAGTTGCCGGCGAGGAAGGTCGCTCACCAAGAACTGCCGGCCGGTAGCATTGTGTCGGCGCTCGTTACCGGCAGCCTGCACCTCACCAGCACTCAACACGAATCATAAAATAAGCAATTGGACCCAGTTTAGCTGACTGAACTCGATCCGCGTCAAGTCAGCTTTGTTTTTAACATTTTTTATGTTATGTTAAATTGACAACCAAGCTGATGATAAATGGTAATTGTCGGTTATGTACATTAACAGCAAGACGGTTGTCATCTTTTACCCTGTAATTGCATTCGTCTCTTGAAGCAAAACACAGCTTACAAAGCAATCTTGTTGGCAGAAATAATCGAAATACTCACGCAGATGACTTTATCAACTCTATTCGCGATGATATTGTGTTTATTAGTAATACTTTATTGAATTTTATTTAACATCATTACAGTCGTTCAAAAATTCGAATCATAGTATTGGTTTGTTTTACTGATGTCCTGATTCATCCAGATAATCTCATATAAGATTCGAGCGAGCATCATATATAAGTTCATTCTGCCAAATTATGTCTAACAACTTATTAAATATTAATGATCTATTCATTGTTATGTACATATTGAGAATTTATTATAAAATGTTTGTATTTTATCATTGTTTAGAATGTTTTTGTTTTAAAATGGAAATCATGTAACAGTGCTGTGTGGTAGTGGTAGTCGTATAATTGTTGAAATCTCATTAAAATAATATTTCCATTCTACCTAATAGGTGCTAAATTAATTTACAGAATAATGTTTTTATCTTAAGAGCATTGTCTATAATCCTGGAAATTCTGATCAAATAAACCTTAGCAATTGTGATATTACCAAGTGTGCATATTATATTATAATTGTTAAAATCTCAATAAAATTGAATTAAAATACAGATTCATATATTTTTTATATTATTACAAGCAGGTGTGAGTAAATAACTAAAATAAATAGTTGCGTAATAATTACTTAGGTGTAGGTTACCTATGACATTGGTTGTGTAACTAATATTCCAATATTATAGATAGCTTGGAATAATTTTTCAATATTTTAGCATTTTCTCAATAGCACCGAATTTCTCAATAGACGGCTAATGGGAATTAAAAAGACAGTAGTTTTATAAACATTATTAATTTATTGAAACAGCTACATACATGCACCACAAACGTTCATCTATACACACATCAGATCAGCAAGTACCGACGGTCATGTCACTCACCTAACAATAGTTACATTATTTATTCATAACTAGTCATTCTCTTTTGATAATAATGGTAATATTCTGAAATCTTTACTTCCAAGAATTGGAATACTAAACACATGATATTTATAACTGTGATGATGAACTTAACATGCGCAGCATTATAAAATAAAATTTTTAACAGTAAATAGTGCCTGGAATACTACGTGGTATAGTTTCATATTTACACAGATGTTTTCGAAATACTAAATGTCAAAATTGTATTGATTTTGTTAAGAAGTAGTAAGTGGACTTGAGAACATTCATTTATATATTTCTTCATAAATAATGATTGGGATGTAAGTTCTCCGAACTTTTGTTTTCAACAATATTTTATTAAAAAAAACTTTGCCTGTTGTCCACATTGTACAGGCAAACTTTAACTTAACTTTATCAGTCCAGTAAAGTTCATCTATATAATACAATGTAAAATGTTACACAACTCTTTGAACTTCAAAGAACCTTTTTAAGTAGTAGACCTGTCCTAGAGTCATGACAAGGAGTACTGATGCTTCAAATATAGACCATAAAACAACTCGTGAGTTTGTGTTTTCATTTATGGAACGATGGATCCTGTCACGCACCTGTGAAAAAATTCAAGTTATGGAAAATGTTATGTAAAATGGTTTGTCAATATATGGAAAATAGTTTATTTTGCATAAACTAAACCAATAATATATAAAATAATAATAACTATGTATAATTATATTTTCTTTTTACATTAAGATCTAGTCAAATCTATTTAAACTAAAAAGACTCCTTATTGTATTTATATTTTGACTGGCTTTCTGATAAATAAACATCAATAAGAAATAGAAAAAATTCAAGAGAAGTTAGACTTCAATAGGATCTATTTGAAATCAAATATCATATTTGTGACTACCTGTGATTTAGGATAGCTGTAGCAATGTTAATAATATAAATGCAAAACTTTGTAATTACTTATGGATGTTTTTACTTTTTCATGCAAAAACTACTTAATGGATTTTGTAACTTTACAGTAATATCTTGCATTAGAATGACACAGGCTATATTTTGTGAAACTGTGGTCACCCACATTTGATTTTCATGCACAGCTATTATTATATAATACATTGTCTAATTTCTTTTGTATAAGTTATTTCCAAACCTGCATATATTCCTGTTCATGTTTTACAGTCTTTAAAGTAGTAGCCAACTCTTTGATCATGTCCTCCAACTTATTATGATTTGCATCATCCTCTTTGTCACCAGTTTTATGAGGTGCATCACCTACTTCGAAGTTGAACATTACTACCTGGAAATTGTAAGTTTGTAAATATTAGGGAAGGGATTAAGTTGTAACACTATATATGTTTCTGGGCATTTTTTATCATGCATCTCTCATGCCACACCCTTAATACCAAAGGCAGAATGGCATTGTTAGTATTGTAGATAATATTACTAACAATGCTTTTCACCCTATTGCTAGCAATAGGGTTGACCTCCACATACCCCCTAGAAGCCATCATTGTTAAGTCCTGAAAAATTGGTTATTGAAGTTTACTGACCTGACTTTATCATGCTTATTCTATCAATCTCCACTAGCACCACAACAGTGCAAGTGGATGACCATTCTATTGTCATTCATTAAAAAAATACTTCAGACAAAAGGACTCTGTACCCAATTAAGCCACCATATGCCAATCTTAGTTATTAGCAGATGGTAGTATAATGTACTACACACATTCATATTTAAATATTATTTTCAAAGGATAACACTTCATTATAATCTATTATTAAAAAAATAATAACTTTTGGGGTCATTGTTGACATTTTGTTGCTGAAGCAGTAAGTGTATCTTCCCGAAGTAGGTGCTGAGAAGGCGTACATGCCCGACGACTCTTTATCACCACGATACATAACTGCATCATCGGGACCAGTAATCGTTACATCTATGTCCAAGAATCCACCTTCTGCTATTTCAAATGTCAAACCTGGAAGAGAATTAATCATATAACCCTTGGATAGAACAACAATTTTAATCATGGGAATTATCTCCATGAGACGCGGTTTGATAGTTTCTTTATAAATATAGGTATTTGGGTATAGAAAAACTCAAAATAGCAGTGAAATAGATAACTCAACGTGTCAGAGCGTCTATGAACTTACCCATCTTAGTACCTGCTTCAACATTTTCGAAAAAACACTCTTCGGCGTGTGCATCCACAGTAATAGTATAACAGCTAGCTGTTTTAAATGATACAAATGCTAGAACTGTAAATAGCCATGAACTTTTATATGTGTATTTCATTCTGAGATATAATATGGAAGATAATATTTAAAAAATGTTTAATTAATTAAATTTAAGGAAACAAGTAAAGAAATAAGAATTATTTTTAGTGTAAGTTCAGCCACGTAATGACATGATATGACATTTAGTTTGACAATTTGTTGACAGACACTATTTGACACACAAAAACGCAAGAATGAGCATAGACACCTGAAGCATAGACAGCTGAAGTAACGATAAATGGAGTAACCATACTAGTTACCAAACCAAGTGGTACCTGTTACAGTACGATTATATTAGTTAGCAGTTCGTTATGATTATTGCAAATTTTTATGTATTTATGTGTACAGTACATTATTTATATTTTTTTTTAATTATAAAAGAAAGCTTGACTCTGTACGCCTGAAAATTTAATACCATTTAGAATATTCATTGTTCAGCAGGAAAAAATAACAGTCGATAGTGATGAACACAGGTAAGTACTCGCTAGGCGAATCAATCGACTGAGAGCTCATGTGCCCTCGACAGTAGCGCCTGAAAAAGCCATCATTGCTGGCATTGTAATTTTACGGCACTGAACATTGACCCTACGTGTGCTGCCACTGGGAACCGCGACGATGATGGCTTCGTCGTGGTACAAAAGAAGAGGCGCACAAACAGGGTCAATAGGAATCATTGTGGCACTGCACTCACTGGGCCCAACTTTCTGCTGCGTGCTGCTACACCGACAACGACAATGTACCTGTCCCGTCTACATTACGCCACTAAGGAGCAGGACATTGTCGATTATATCCGTACCAAGAGTAACCTGACATTGAGGGTGACGCAGCTGAAGTCGAGTCACAACGCGAGTTTCAAAGCGTTTGTGGCCCTGGTCCCTACCGACTTGCTGCCCACCTTCATGAAAGAGGACTACTGGCCGAAAGGTGTGGTGTATCGGCGCTACCGTGGCAGATTGCCGTCTTCAGTGCCAGTGATCACACAGACAATATAGTTGTATTGGTTTTTATTACATTATATGTATGTTAGTCTATAAGGTATTTATAATATGGGCCTAGTTGCCTGAAATAAATGAATAAATAAATAAAAAATTGTAATTTTACCGACGTAGAACACTTTTCTAAAAACTGTTAGGATAGTTTTGTTTTTAGTGGATGATAATGGAATGGTGCACCCGCCTGCGTTAACGGTTTACGCTAGCGGGGCACCAGTGGAGGATGATAAGATGAGCATGAGGTCAGGTCAGTTAGCCCATCGTGACAAATTCACCAGGAATTTAATACGATGGTTTCCAGGGGGAACCGTGTGGAGGTCGACCGGACATGGTACATTGCTAGCAATGGGGTTATCAATCCACATTACTAACAATCCGGCTCTGGGTAGTTAGTTACTTCAGTAGGCCTCGGTTGTAAGCTTTGTAAGCTGTGTTTCGGTTGAAGGATGACACAAGGTAGTGAAATTGCAGGGTAGACGCATGATATCTTAATCCTCTGGAATTGGAACGCGTGAGCAGTAGGGATGTCTGGTGTCCATGATAACGTCGGGTCCTTAGCAATTCATGTATATGTTACAGAACTCTTTAGAATTGTTAGAATTAATTACTTTTTTATATTTATTTGACATGTGTTTAAAAATGAATTTACCCAGTTGTATATTGTTTTGCCTTTGTACCTTACTATACCATTCATTATAAAAATAAATAATTTTCTATATATAGTTTTGTTTCGCCATCCTGATACCTAATCCTTCACAAAGTGGAGACCGTGACAGGACGATACAAATAGAAGCTTTAGAGGAAAAGGATTTCAAACAAGCTAAGGAGGCAGGGTATTGTAATAAATGACAATGACAATGTAATAGACATAGGTTTGTTGATAGGAGCAGACATGACAGGCACGTTGCTCACAGGCCGTGTAGTTCAAATTACTGATAAATTAGTTGCTTTAGAAACTAAATTAGGATGGACTGTACAGGGACCTATTCAAGCCACGTCATGTCTTTCTGTCATTAACAGCAATATTATAAATGTATATCATTGTACTTTTGATATTGCCGATTTAAGGAAGTTAGAGAGAATGGGTATTTCTGACCCAGAAGTGGTAAAAAAGCGTAATGAAACTGATTTGGAAATATTAGAATATTTTAACAGTACAGTCAGGCTAAATAATTATGATAGGTATGAAGTGAACCTTGCTTGGAAAGGTGGTGAATATAAAATGCAGCTTGTGACTAATTATGAAATTGCATTGAAACGATTAAAGTCGACTACTACTAAAATAACTCAATTGGGGATACTCAAGGAATATGATGAAGTTTTTAAAGAATGGTTGCACAGTGGTATAATTGAGAAATTAAATAATCCGAATTCAAAACAAGGTCATTATCTGCCACATCATGCTGTTATTAAGGAATCCAATTTAACAACAAAAATTAGACCTGTATTTAATGCATCAGCAACTCAAAAATGTAGTATATCTTTGAATAATTGTTTGGAAAAGGGTAATAATTTGATAGAGCTTATTCCACCCTTATTGATTAAATTTCGAAAAAATGCTATCGGTATTACGGCTGATATAAAAAAGGCATTTTTACAAATTTCATTAAAACCCGATGATAGAGAGTACTTAAAATTTCTTTGGTGGAAAGACGTCAATAAAACAGATGGAGATATGGTAACGTACCGTCACTGCAGAGTGGTCTTCGGAGTAACGTGTAGTCCCTTCCTTCTTTCAGCAACCATTTTATACCATTTAAATAAGTACGATAACCATACAGCGAACGTACTGAAAAGTGCATTTTATGTCGATAATTGTGTAGTAAGCGTAGATAGTTAAAAAGAGATGGAAACCTTTATAAGCGAGTCAAAGTCAATTATGCTTAAAGGAGGTTTTGAGTTACGATGCTGGGTAACTGGACCACATATGGTAGATAAAAATGTTGAAACTATATCGGTACTAGGTTTAATGTGGGATCCAAAGCGAGATGAGATTTTTTGCAAAATTCGTCAATTCAATTCAGAATGTAAAGTAACAATGAGGACTCTTTTGTCATGTACTCATAGTATATTTGATCCCTTGGGATTTTTCTGTGCTGCGACATTATTACCAAGGTTGTTAATTCAAAAGTGTTGGTAGTTAAAACTTAATTGGGATGTCGAAGTACCTGATTCTATAGAAAAACCGGCAAAAGAATGGATGAATCAAATAGGTATTTTACAGGACTGTCATTTACCAAGCCGTTTGAGTGACACGTCATTAAAAAATAGCAACAAATCTTTACATATATTTAGCGACGCTAGCCAATTGGCTTATTCAGCTTGTATATTCTTACGATCAGAGTTTAATGGAATAGTGTCAATAAAATTAGTATTAGCTAAAAACAGAAGCTATGGAATTAGAATCGTGCAAAGAATATTACTGGTCTGACTCTAGTATAGTTTTATCCTGGTTTACTAAAAGTGATTTAAATGTTTATGTACAAAATCGGGTAAAAAAAATTAAAGAGAAGACAAATATAAATAATTGGCATCATATTCCAGGAAATTTCAACCCCGCTGATTTACCTTCGCGTGGTTGTAACCCTCAAAGTTTAGTTAATAGTAAATGGTGGAATAGACCGGACTGGTTACGAAAACCAGAGTCAGAATGACCGTTCTCAGCAATCAACCCAGATATTAATGAGGTAAACAAAGAGATTATTAAGAGGTGTCTTCTGGTTAAGAAACATGAGAATTTTACTGAAAATCTGACATACTTTTCTGATTTCATTAAAATTGTAAGAATGACAGGATGGTGTTATAGATTTGTAAATAATTCAGGAAAGAAGAATAATAAACGTCATGGAAATTTAATTGCAGAAGAGTATGAATACGCGGAGATGAAATTATTACATTTAATTCAGAAAGAGACTTTTAACGAGGAATATATAAAAAGATTGAAATTAGAAACATTTAGGGACGGTGAAAATATATAGTAAAGACACGTGTGACATTGTCTGACGATACTAATAATTTTATAAGACCAATATTACTACCAGGTAAAAATATATTAATAGAACGTCTAGTAAGGCTGAAACATAAAGAAACATTACATGCTGGATCTCAAACTTTAATAAACTGCGTACGAGAACAGTACTGGATTATTGGAATTCGGCGTTTAGTAAAAAGTATTATTAGACATTGCGTTGCATGCAGAAGACATAATTCTCGAGCGTACACTGTTCACAGTGCACCTCTTCCGGCCGATCGTGTTCGATGTGGTGCTGCCTTTGAAGCTACAGGAATCGATATGGCGGGACCCTTATATCTAAAATCCGGTGACAAGTGTTGGGTTGTATTGTTCACCTGCGCAACTTATAGAGCTATAGATACATTTAGAACTATGTACATCTTTATTTACAGAAGATTTTCTGTTGTCACTTAGGAGATTTTTAGCACGTAGAGGTAGAGTACGTACTATTTATAGTGACAATGGAACGAATTTCCGTGGAGCGCACAGTTTATTGAATAAAATCGATTGGGCAGAAATAAGCAAGAAATCTTCCATTCAAAAACTGCAATGGAAATTTATACCCCCTAATGCGCCGTGGTGGGGAGGATTTTGGGAGAGACTGATTAAAATGTTAAAAGAGTTATTGCGGAGAATGTTGGGAAAAGCGGCTCTACATTATACAGAATTATTAACTATCTTGACAGAATGCGAAGCTATTTTAAACAATAGACCTCTTACATATATTACGGAAAACACGGAAAATTTAATGCCATTAACACCTTCTATGTTTATAAATTGTTTATCATACGACGTTTCAGATTTAGATGAAGTAAATACAGAATCATTAAATAATCGTTCAAAATATATTCAGAAATTAAAGAACGATTTTAAAGTGCGTTTTAGGAATGAATATTTAGCTATATTAGCCCAAAAGACACAAAATAACAGAATACAAAAGGGATTACATGTTAAAGTCGGTGATATTGTTCTTATTGAGATCAATGATACTAAGAGAGTTAACTGGCCGTTAGCTATTGTGGAAGAATTATATCCAGGTGTTGATGGTCATGAAAGAGTAGCTCGCCTCAAGACAACATATGGAGAACGCATAAGACCATTACAAAGACTTTATCCTTTGGAAAT